CACCGCAGGCACATTTGAAATAAACAGCAGACCTCCACGTTGCACCAGCAAACCCGAAAGCCCAATTTAGCTGTCAAAGGCAAGCAGCTTGAACAAACTCCCAATCTCGTCACTCCTGGGATCCCGTCTCCGTTCTTGGGCCCGGGTCATTGGATATTCTCAATCTTGAGCCCAGCTCAATCTCAAACGAAGGAACATCTCCATCTTATGCTCTCATGTGTCAAAAGAAGCTTCTTTTGAATGATTGCTCTTCAGTATGGTATCTTATCATGAGATCTTATCTTCTCATGTCAATGTCTAATTTCCGCGTACGTCCCTTCCACACCATCCCTCTCCAATCGGTCCGTCCACATCCGGCTGAGGGGCCCATAATGATGATCGCCGGCGCAGGGTCCACTGGGAGAGGTGCTAAGACCTGCGAAAGGAGCTCGGCGCAGTTGAATGCACCTGCGCTGCGTTTGTTGTGCTCTTCTCCTGCAACTGGACCCGCAAAATGGCAGGGGCGGTTTCAGTGGGCCATTTGACTACTCTTCCAATGCATCCTGAGACCATTGTGTAGTGTGGGGATGCTTCAATCAGTCACCTTCAACTCCATGGGTTTCAGAACGCCAGGAGAGAGCCCTCAAGCTACTTCATCAAGTCCTCCGGTGGCCCCTTTGGGCTCACGAGTCTTCCCCGTCGCCTGCTCGATGATCTCCTCACCGCCCGTGGCCGAAGGGTTGCCCTCTGCGACTCCTAGCACAGAGGGATTTCATCAGCGACCGTTTGGTGGACATCACTGGGGAGGAGCCACGCGAGGGCCGAAACTTTGCTTGTTGGACTCCACACGCTCGGTTAGCATTCATTTCGCACTCAAGGGGACATCCAAAGCAACCCTACACTGACCCTGGCGTGACCGCCAAGTGACAACCCCTGCGTGGCCACAGAAGTCTGGTCGTCCAAAATTTGGTCCAAAGGCATTCCGGGAAGCGGAGATATGCCAAGTCGAGCTAGCTAAACCCGGCCCCAACAGGCATACAGGCTCTGCCAAGTGCGGAGCCCGTACCAAAGGGTCAACACTACAAAGAAAGGCTTAAGCGGTCTATCATTCAGGATCATGAAGAAGGGACGAATCTGATTAATCCCAAGGACTGTCTTCAAAGGGCTGACTCCCCAAGTGGGCCGCTTCAAAGTACCGCCAAGTGCGAGGTTTCCAACTGCTAAATGGCGGAGAACCCGATCTCAATCCATCCGCAATCCACAGTACTACAGCAATGTCTCATTCTTGGCAGGGATCGTTCCTTCCACAAAAACAAAGGTAACAGGTTTCGTTGTTGAAAAGAAGACCTTTGGAAGAGAGTAGTTCCAAACAATTGAATTGTCTCAAAATAAGGCTCCCCTGAAGTGGCTGGTTTCCTTTGGTTTCCCTTGAATGAGCTAAAGGAGGCTTCCAAAAACAAGACTCACATATACACATATGTATTTGTAAATGTAAATATACATATATATATATATCGCTATTTACAAACGGTTCACCTACGCCCCATGAAATTGTGTCATGTCATCCCGTCCTGTGATGACCTTTGCACGCCGAGCCTGGCAAAGCGAGATCGAGAGGTTGCAAACGACGGCAGATTAGGACGGAAGCTCTTCTCTGTCGGCCCTTGGATGACCATCAGCCAATCTCCAGCCAGGCTGTGCAGAAGGCAGGATACATTGACCCCAGACTGCAAGCATCATGAATCACATGAACCATTGAATCGGATATCCAGGGCGAGGGGGGGGGGGGAGGGAAAAGCTTGCCAACCGAGAACACATAGCCTGCGGGACTGGGACGCTCAAAGCAACTTGCAGACCCTGACGACATCAGCTCTTGGAACAAGTCACTTCGCATTTCGTCTCACCTGCTCCGAATCTTAGACCACAAGCATGGTCGAATTCAGTCCAAGGGCTCAAAATAAAGGTGCCAGGTTCAGGAAAAGCCGTGTCTAAGAGAACTTGTTGCTGGTTGCGCCCTTTCGCGTTCCCGTTGCCTGCATTTCGCAATGCATGTGACATCCTTTGCGGCTGGTCATGCATCTTGGATTGGCCAAGTCGAATTTGGCATTGGGGTGAAGCCTCCTGCTTCTTGCTGGTGCAAAACTCCTGGCCCGATCCACGCCCAGCACTTTCATTTACCATTTTGGCAGGCAACCCAGGCTTTCTGCTTAGGTTTGCATGATGGCTTTCACTGGCTACCCGCAATCGTGGTAACTCGTTATTTGACAGCATTGTGGGGCATATGTTGCGATGTTTACAAGCTGCAAGCACGCTACTATGTGCCCGGCCACAAATCTGAACAACCTCCTCGCTTCAATTGCGGCGATGGCGGGTGGTGGGTGGCGATGGTGGTGGTCATGGGGGTTGCAGTGGCGGAGTCTTTGGCGATAGGTGGTGCTTGCGGTTGGTCATAGTCGTTGCATTGGAGGGGGCGGTGGCGATGGTTGTGGTGCTTGTAGTGGTTTGTGGTTGGTGCATCTGGTGGTTTTGTGGTTGCAAAGCTTATCCCGACACACTGGACTGTTTCTATTCTGCACATCCAAGTCTCTAGTGCCTTCTCCTCCTGGGTTGTGTGTGTGTGTGACGGCTTTAAGACGATGCTTCTCTGTTCTGTCCCGGCACATGAGACAGGCTCTTTGTAAAGTGTGCAACTGTTACCCATCATGGACATCGATACCAGTCAAAGGACTATCAACCGGCAAAAGGCACCTAAAACACGAAGCAACCCACCCCGACCAAAAGTTGGCACTCCCTTTGCCTTCCTGTAGGCCTCCGTAAGCATGTCATCCTAAAACGGGGGGGTCCCATTGCGTTCGGGCCACTTGCAATATATCAAGCTGTGGAAAACACAAGTTACATCAGCCACGGCGTCAAAACTTTGCAGTGGCGACTTGGGTCTCGAGTTTGTTTTCAAGAGACTGCCTTGACAAGTCCGAAGCGGCGCTTGCTTTTGCGCGTCGCCGCGTCGCCTGGCCGTCCTCCGGTAGCAGCTGGCCCCAAAGGAGTGCTCCGCCAGAGGACTTGAAGCGCACCAGGTTCCTTGAGCGGGGAGGGAGAGGGTTTAAGGCCTGAACAGTCGGTTGGTGTAGGTAACCAGGGGAAACCATGGAAAACCCGTGGCAAAATCGGTAAGAAACCTTGAACATGTCCTATAGTGGTAACTGCAACTGGGCATAGGAGAATGGGGGTAACTGTGACGAAGACATCAAGTGAGTGCAGCCATCTTAGGTATCATAGCAGGCAAGCGATGAGATAACGCGCAAGAAACAATGCAGAAGTATATGGTGCCTTCCATAATAGCAAAATCGGACTGCTGTCTATGAAAGAGCAGGTAGAAGTTGTTTGTTCCTGGCCCCCTGGCATGATCCCCTAGTTTACGGGTACACTAACCACTAATGGCACAACCATGAGAAACCAGCCACCCACGGGAGTCCAAAGCCTTTGCTATGACGGGTTCATGCAGTCCTTCAATCCGCCTTTGAGTCTGACCCCGGTTCGCAATAAGTAAAAGGGTAGTCCCCTTGGGTGTATGGACTTTCGCAGTTGTTTGACTAGTTTTGAGCAGATCAGCCTTCATTGCAGTATCATTCTGGAGGGGTCCTTTTTTAGTTGTTTTCATGAGTGACTGCCCACCAGCTTTTTGAAACCCAATGGAGACTGCAGCAAGTGCTCCGTAAATGGAGTGTTGCAGTGTTGCACGCAGAAACAGGAGTCAGAACAACAATGCCAAAGAGATCCAACATTCTTCCTCCGAACCACTTCTGCGGAAACACAGGTTGGGAATAGGAGCCAGTCGAAGCACTTTCATTTCTGGTAGTGAACGTCCGGCTATTCTTCAACAACCCACCAACATGGAACCTGACCGAAGGTGCTTGGAGCAACACATTCCTCGAAGGCGCCTGTTGTTGAGAAGCTGGACAAGCAGCTACCAGCCATTCACTGGAAATTTGATACTGGCATCTTTCAGGTGAACTCTGGTTCCAAAAGGAACAAGAACAGCACGCCTTGCAATCAAGCAAGATCCTCAAGTCTTCATGGCTCCCAAAACCTTTTCCCCTTTCAACTGTTGCCCTGATTTTACCAATTTCAAAGCCACCCATGTCAGAAGTTGAAGGGAACCTATTTGAGTTTCAGACTTTGACCACCCCATCCCTCAAAAAGAAAATGACCCAAGAACCAGTCCTTCCCTTGCCCCTCTGAAAGCTGTGGCTTACGTCTCCCACCGGCGATGGGCTTCCGGGCCCGGCCGGCGCGGAGGCCAGAGACGCCACGGAGCGGACTGATGGCAAGGCCAGCCGCCTGGATCGATGTGTCAGGGTCCTTTTGGCACAGCCCATGTGTGGCTCAAAAAAGTGGTACCAAAATGGCAACTTGGTAAATGGAACCAAAGCGTAAAACCTGCGTAACCCTAGCTCTTTAATTTTGAGCCATACCCATATGCGTGTGATATTCTTCGGGACCCCTTTTTGGATGGTTTCCAAGGAAGCCACCACTTGGCAAAATCCTTACTTCCCTTGAAATCAACCTGTGGGAACCTCCCCAAGACAAAATCCGCGAACATCTCAAGCACGTGCAATTTTGGTTGGGGGGTTCCATAGCAAGCTGTATCCAAGCCAAACTCAAATCAAGAGAACCCGTGCCCTCAATGCATGCCCGTTGGTCACCTGGTCAAATTAGGGCCCGGGGCATGCGCAAAGGACGTACCGGAGGTGTAGATTGGATACAGGGAGATTGCGTGTTCGGCCCAAGTAGCAAGTGGGTTGTAGCTTCGTTTCAAACCCGCTTACAACAGGTTCAACTTCAATTGAAGGACTTGCAAGTCGGGTCATGATCATAGGCTGCTGGTCGCTCATGAACTGGACAGCCAAAGTCAAAACATGAGCCCTTGCGAGATTGAATAGTGCATCTATCCCAAGATGTCATTCTCCATGACCCGCCGACTCCCGCTGCAACAATGCGCCACAAGGCAGACCAGGGCAAACGTGTCCTTCAAACCAGGGCATGTGGGCGTCGCCTTTTAAACCCCTAACGCAACGACCACGAGATGGGGGGATTGCCCCCCAGCAAACACAACAAACCGAGGATGAAGGATTCCTGTCAAAACCAGAGCTGACATGGTTTTGAACACTAAACGGGGGAGACTGTTCCTGGTTGTGTGAGACCCTAGGCAAATAAAGAAGGAATCCATTGCATTGTGCTTTCTGGAAGGTCAAATCAGGGGGGTGCATTGGCTTCGGCTGACACAGTCTGCGAAAGGGCTGCCCGCACTGCCGTCACTGTTGTTGTTCTGCGTAAAACCCGTCTATGGCAGAAGCAGGAACAAGTTTCTCGATTAGTTCTTTTCTTCCCCCCAAAACCAATGGTTGAGTTGCTGGGATTCTCCAAGAGACTCCTACCTACAATGGCAGTGCGTCAAAACCCAAGCCGCCTCACACATGGCTGTGCGACTCGAGCGAGCTGATGCATGGCGATGGCAGCACTCGTCTATGCCAGGCGCAACCGCATGCTCGCTCTGGCCGAAGCGGATGCCTTGCATAACAGGCGCGACCTTGCATCGTGAAAGTGCTGCAGGTATGCATTCAACGGCCCCCGATGTAACACTTGCATATGCATCGAGCCCCTTGCACTGACTCGAAACGGGTGTAGTGACCCTAGTGATGCCCTTGTTCCGTTCTAACTTCTCTGAGGCCAAAAGTAGCGCGCTTGACACCTGAAGCGCAAAGCAGGGAGCGGCCCAAGAGCCAAGAGCAGCTGAGAAGAACTGTTGGAAGGAACGTGTTGTCACATGCATCGAAGACACAAATATATTTCCCCGACTGTGCCAAGAGGAGGTTTTGAAATATCATTCGACGAAACATGCCATAAGATTTGGACGACCTACTATAAATCCAAATCGGGCCAATGCCTCGGCAATCTAAGCATGTTTAAACATTGTTGGCTCCAAACGCTGGCAGATCCACATTGCGACAAATAAAGGGAAGCCACCTTGCTGGGAAATAAGACTCTTGGTTGACCGCTCAAGGCTGGAGTCATCTTGAAAACTGAGCGCCACAACTGTCAGAGATTGAGCCAGCGCTTGTCCCAACAGCATGTACGTGTTCAATGGGTTGGACTCTTTGGTGGACATCATTTACATGCCAGCAGACATGTGTTCAGCGTCTTCTCTCAACGAATTGCGTCAACTTCAGGGTGCTAGCAATGAGAGTCCCATCTTGTTCCAAGGCCTGCTGTTGCCTCAGACCTCGAATGGTGATCCTCATCAAGCATGCTAGTTAGGTCAAATGCTCACCACAAGCTGAACTTACTCCAGCTATCCCAAATCCCAACATTCAGCTTCCCACTGACTGCTGGGTTGGTGGCTTGGTGGCTTGGTGCTTCTGGGGTTCGCAAGGGAAAGGTTCCACACGGTTCCACCCTGGGTGCAGTCCTGCAGGCTTTGCAACAGGCACCGCGCAGACTCCACACCTGAATTGGACGTCTCAAAGGAAGTGGTCCCCAAGGCCGAGTTGTTTCCATTTGCCTTCCATATAAAAATGGCAAGGGGGTCCAAATATATATATATATATGTATATATATATATATATGAATAATATATATATATATATATGTATAGCTATTTTGCGACACACCCACAATATGCAAGGAAGCGTGGGAAAGCAGGCAACGCTCGCAGGCTGTTGGTGACATGGCAAACACCATGAAACCTGCCTAGCTGGACCGGCCTTTCTTGGGGCTTTCTAAGATGTAGCTACCCGGAGATTCCGCAAAGATGCCATTTAGACCGGTCTAACAAGGAAACACGTCATACCGACACGGAAGGGGCCAATTCATCCGATTCGCAAACCATGATAGTCCATCCACCTTCGTTGCAGTTCCTCCCATGATTCGTGGCAGCAAGTCATTAGACCAAGCATTCAGATCTTGAGTCCCCGGTTTCCGCACATACCCCATTCTGAATGCAAAGCAGCCATGACAGCCGTATTTCTCTCAGTTTAATCCTTTGGTGAGTGTTTCTGTTTGTCTGCTGCTCAGTTTCAAGATTGCCTGGAACTTGCCGGCTCATATAATATGCTCCTTGCATATGTCTGACTGTTGCGAATGCTGGTGTCGTCAATACATCCGAAGACATATGTTAGACTGACTCATTGCTAACATTCTGGGAGTCTGTTTGGGTCGATACATCCATGATCATCTACATATGCTTCCCACTGTACCTAGCCTATACACATATTACGTGTTGTGGGTGCGGTGTTGATCAATATTCCTTCATCCGGAAAATGCCATCTTCGCGATGCGCCATTGGTTTGCAACTCGCTCTGTGGAGTCCTGCATGCTGTTGCGGGAAGGCAGAACACCGGCCACGAAACGCAGCGGGGTTCACTTGCAATCCGTTGAGAGAAACAGTGACTATCAATAAGGGGCTTCGCCCAGGACCCAATGAAGCTTACAACCAGATTCCAAGTCTTTCGTCGGTCTTGCGCGGGTTTTTTTGCGAAACTGGCTCCAAAATGGCCCAGCCAAAGCTCAGCTTTTAGGAGAAACCCAGAATGGGCGGGCAGGCAAGGATCCAAGAACAAGTCCTGCGCATCTCCTTGTCTTCAGGGCGGGCCTGCAAATATGAAAGCATACAAGCATGTATCTGAAAAGCCATCGCTAAATATTTCGCGTAAAAGGAAAACAACAACGTCTTCGCGAACTCCATCGCGAAGCTATTGCGGGCACCAACACATCAGTGCTCTCTGTGCTGCGTGTGTGTGCAGGCCCTCAAAAAAGGCTCCCAAAAAGGCTCAAAGTGCTGCACATAACACTGATTTCTGGGTCGATGGGGAGGGGAGGCTACAATATAAACGTATGTGTATACACAGAATCCTTGGACTTGACGTATTTGAACGACCTCCGACAAAGACATCCCGACTGCGGCATGGTTACGAGGGGCGCTCCCTCACCCCACCCCCGTCTTTGTTAGGCCGAGTGAGGCCTCAGTTGGTTTTGGTTGTGGGCAACCCCTTGCTTCTTGGGATCCCTACTGTGGATGGACGAAATCCGTTCGCACCACTTTGGAACCATGGAATGGTTGAATCCTCATTCTTAGGGTTTCTTGGGTGGTGCAGGAATTCGTCTATCCGCAGTGCGGGGCGGGGTCTTGGGTACGACAAACACGTCCGACCCCCTGCCTACACACCGCTCCGCCAGGCCGCACAGAGCGGAGGGGGACGCCAAGGTGGCGAAGGGAGTGGCCTGTGGCACGAAGTCGACTCGGGCCAGAAGATCGACTCGGGCTTGAGTTTTGCCGATAGGCACCTTTTTGGTGCACATGGTTTGTGGGGGTTTGTATCCACCAGTCATTCACCACACTAAGTCAGTTGTTCAGTAAACCCAATTGAAAAAGGGGCCCTTTTGATGTTTTAGCGGGGATCCCAAGAAACAAAAACAGGGCTCTTTGTATTTCCCCTTTAAACATCATCCCACCAAACAGAAGCCCGACTACAAATTGGCAACCAAAAGGTGATGTTGAAAACCCCCCAGGAAACTGAGGAGTACCGCTGGGGCACCACAATGATCCTTGGGCCTTCGGCAAGTTTCCACCGAAGAAACAGGGGAACGAAAGGCGAACTCTGCAAACAAACACCAAAACCAAATGAGGGAAACTGGGAGCCCTGAAACAAGGAAAACCGATTTGAACATAAACCCAGGATACCTAGGGGCCATCAAGAAACGGAACCAAAAGGGGAACCAAAGTGAAAATCCACACGCCGCCAAACATGTTTTTTCTTCAGGAACCCTGAACAAAAATTAAACCAAAGGATCCAACTGAGGTTTGGTGTCAAGGGAAACCGGTTTGCCCCGGTAGGACCCCGGTTGCCGAGCCTGGAGCAGCACGCTACCCGAGACCGGGGCCTGACTGCGGGGGGAAAGCGACCTCTGGGTATTCCAAGCATACGGCTCAAGTGGCCGCATTTTGCTTTTGGGGTTCTCAGAGTTGCTGTTGGGGGTGACCCTTGAAACCACCATTGCCGCATGCTGCTTTGGGGATGTCACTTTGATGGACGCACTCAAGGTGGGGTAGGTGGGTACATAGGTAGGCATGTGGGGTAGCCGTCTAGGCAGGTGCACCAGTGGACACGATTCAAAGCAACGAATCCGTGGTCACCCCCTCAGAAGTGGCAACCGCATTCAATGTTGGCACTATGCGTGACATGGGGCTGCTTCAAGATCCAACGCCTGGATGTTTTTTCTGGATGAGCAGCTTGCACAATTGTGCACATACTGCTTAAATCAGTTTGGGAAACTGCACACCTTTTTTGTGCATGGACAAGCTACTTCATACGCTTCACCATGACCTTGACACATGTCCAACGCAGGCAAATCCAGAAATCGGCACGGCCATGGCCCTTTTGTTTCCCCAATCCCTGCCTGGACCCCAAGGTAACTCGCACAGCTGTCAGGTAGTTCCGCAGAGGACCTCAGGCCGAAGATCTTCTCGGAACCATCAACAAGGGTGCCCCTGCCAATTGGCTGTGGTTGTCAAACCCCTGGAAACCCCTGGTACATCAAAATAGGTGGCACATGGGTGTTCATCCGCCCAATGGAGGCATAGGTTTTTGGCCCATGGCCAATTCCGCCGCAAGGATCCGATGGCACGAGGAGAGGGCATGCGAGGCTGGAGGCCCCAAACAAACGTGCAGGACCGGTTCCCAGGAATGGCTCAGGCCGCATGTCACGTGGCTTCAAGCATGATCAATCCCATGAAACCTTGGCGAGTCCCTCAGACTTCTCTACCACTAGTTGTGAAACCTTTTGGTGCAAAGATCGTGTCCACAGGATGCCTGGTTTGAGTGGAGTGGAGTTGAACTTGGCCCTGATCGAACTTTGAAGCTTTGACTTTGGGAAAATCCGTGCCATCCACTAAGCACGAATCCAAGTTCTTTGTCGTGCAAGGAAGAACTGTCCCTCCCGTTCACCATGGAACACACACAAGCTGTCCGAACAGAGGGTAAACGGCCAAGCCACAACCCCAGGATCCACGGCAACGGGGGCGGGAAGGTCACTCCCAATGGAAACGTGGACAATGTCGCCCAAAAGCTGGCCATGGCGACGTACCAGCCCAGATCCCAGCTGCGAGGGGTTCGCATGTCACGAGATCCCAGTTGCCTTTTGTACGCTCCCAGACCAACGTCCTTTTTCTCTACATGTGCCCTGTTGAAAACTCGTTCTGAGGGACCAACAGTTGCCACGATTTTCATTTACTTGAGGTTCCATCACATCCCTACCAATCCCAAGCAAGCATGGGTATGGGTATGTGGCAAAAAAGGGGAAACACCCGCAATGATTGTTTGGTTGCCTTTGGGTTTCTTTGAGCCAACCTAAACCCGGTATCCTCCAAAAACACACACACACACACACACACAAACACTACCACAATATGATAAACGGGACCCTCCTCCCCGGAACCTTTGCGTGTAGGCTTCTCAGCAGGGAATAAGGGAGTCACTTCTATAAACCATCCCCTTGCTTCCCAGATCCCGAAACCTCCCAAAACCCCTCAAAGCCAATGAGATGCTTTCCTTTTCATTTCCCCCCCACCCAACAATCCCACACATTTCCTCAAAGCAAAACCCAATCAAATGCTTTCAGCAGTTTCCTGGTCCATTCACCCCAAATCCTTCGGGAAAAAGACATGTTTCACCCAAAACTCCCGAAAACCCCTCCAAGGAAACCCAAGACCTCCCAAGACTCCCGGGGCAGGATCTGTTTATCGCATTTCCCGGGCCCCCGGGCACCATCTCCCGCGTCCGCGCGATGGAGCGCCTCAGCTCCGGGAAGAGGCGCTGCACGAGGAAGGCTTCCTGCCTCCCGCTCGCGAGCCGCAAACAACCCGGTCGTCGCCCTGTCCCCAAGTCGTGGGCAGCTTCTGAGCACATGTCCTACAACTAGGAGTTGTGCCGTGTCCATGTGGTTTTCCCCTGGAAGCCCGGAAAAGGCACGTCCAGTTCTCTTAGGAAAGCCTTATAGGCCTAGGCATGCTTGCCGCCGCTTACCTAAGTGGCAGCTGCAGGCACTGAGTACGCGAACAACGACACACCCTGCCAACTGAAAGTTGGGGTCTGTTGCTCCCAATCGAACTCCCTCTAAGCTGCTGGCCATGCGAAGGCCTAAGAATATGCTAAACTCGGATTAGACGGAGTTTGGGTGTGGGCTTTCTTGAGGGTACCCTTCTCAGGCTGTTTTAAAGGGAAACTAGAGGGGAACAACAGCGCTTTGGGGAGTCCTCTATTTTGACACATACTCACTTCTCATGCAAGGTAACCAGACTGGCATGGCGCTCCGGATTTATCCGCAGTTGCAATTGCACAATGCGCTGCGTATTGTTTTCCAAACTGTGACACCTTGCGAATCGCATCCCGTGAAACAGCTTTGATGCCTGCAGGCATGCGACTCAATTGGACAATGTGACCTGGTGACCTCTTGGCCATACAGGAGGCAGTCAGACGGAAGCTTCAAAGCAAGTTTGATATTTTGCCGCAAGTAGAAGGGCCAAACCTTCCTCTGACCGGCAGCCAAGCGGGTCACGTGTGCTTGCACTGACAAACAGCCTGCGATGAAGTGGTTTCGACTCATTTGTGTAATTAAGCACTGGCCATTAAGCCGACAGTTGCATGACTGTTGAATCATTACCATAAGAATCTGAGGGTACACCAAGTCTGAGTAGTCTTACGGAGTGACCGAACATGCGTGGTTTATCACTGTTGTCGGTTTCGTTCAGCGGGCCTTACGATCTGTTCCCCTACGATCTGTTCCCCAAACTGAATTCAATGACTGAGGGACCTTCATCAATGAACATGCGCCAACATTCACAAACCGCCCAAAGTAAATGAGTCTCCAGTAGATGCGCTTTCAAGGAGAACAATATCCTGATTTGGACAGGGCTTGCCGGACATAGCCGTGTTCAGTTGTCTCGCCCATTGGGTCCCAATGCCTGCCCGGCAGGCGCGGGTCAGTGGCCGGCCTCAGTTGGCCCCCGAGAAAGCAAGGTTTGATGCTGGTCCATTGTGAACCTGAAAATGTGACGTCAAAAGAGATGCCAAACACCATGATAGCAACAAGTATCCATACGCAGGCAACCACAGTTGGATATACTTTGGGGGGTACTTGGACAATTTGCGAACACTGGTGGGACTATGTCACAGGCCTGTGTGCGCGCCGGCGTGTTGTTTGGCTGCGTCGTCCGCCGATCCGGGTGATTCCTCTATGCTTCGCAGTTCACATGGCCAGCCCTTGCTGCTGGGAGGGTGCTCGTGGCTACAAATCTTGTGAGTTGGACCCTCCAAAGTCGAGTGGACGCGAAATCTGATTCAGATCTCAACTGAGACCTCCGGCACATGGCCATCCAAGTCTTCCAGCAAGAGGCGCAGGTGCCGGTCCTGCCATGCGTGCGTGCGTGGTCTTCGTTTGGGGGATCCCCCCCAAAAAATTAGTGGGTTTCCGTTTGGCTTTCCTGTAAACCAACCCAAAAAGGACAGACGCCCTCACCCTTCGAAAACGAAAAGGCGCTGCGCTACGAATTAGGCCTCCCAGGAACACACTGTGGAAGGGTCTCTTGAAGATAGAAAGATCTCCAAAAGGACATTCAGTCTTTGGGTTCCGCGGACAAGATCTCCAAAGGAAAAGGCGGCGACGTCCTGGACGAAGAGGCACAGCACACCTGGGCCACTGACATGTGTCCAGACATGAACAACAAAGGCACGAGACACAGCACTGAAGGAACTTGTTGACATCACAAACACTTGCCAACAAGCCGACAGAAAGCAACATAGGAGACATCACTCTTTCTTTTTGGCTGCCCATGTTCAGTCCCAAAACGGCAAGGTGAGGCTCCACCGGGAGTCCGTCCACCACGTCATTTGGCGAAGCGGCAGTGCACGTAGAAGTTCACCAACTGCACGGCGTTCTGGAAGATGTCCTGTGGACAGGGTGACGTGTCCAAACTGATTCATCCCAATCGAAAGGTTTAGCCTCCAAGCAATGTATATACGTTCTACGTTCGGGATATGGTCCCTTTAAAAGGAAGATGGTCCACCCTCCCAGATGGAACCTTGCTGATTCAAAGTGATTCATCCCCTCCCCTTCAAACTGATTCATCCCCTTTTTATTTGGAACCTGAGGTTTGGGAAATGGTCCCTTTCTCATTGGCCAAACCGGAACGTCGAACGGTTCCATGTTAATTGGTGGGAGGGAAACTTGTGAGTCAAATGAGGCACGGTCAAAATGTTCTTTCCTACGGCCGTTTTGCTACTTGGTTTGAGAGTCCCCTATCGTGTTCCAGCGTTTCCATCGTCTTCCAGGGGGATCGTTTTTGTGGAAGTCCCCTATCGTTTGCCATGGTTTGTGCATTTTCACAATATCAACGAATCGCCGAATACTAAACTTAACAGAAGTAATTTTGACTTCAAATGGAAACCCAACTACTAAACCAATCCTAACGAACCGGACAACTGGGAATCGCCAAGCATGCTGACACAACCAGATCCTGGGCCCGATTAAAAATTTGAACAGAAACCCAAAGGAGCTGGTTTAAGCGACAGCTTGAAAGGCTTAAACAGTGGTTGGCCCCACCGAGCCTTCAGAAGGGGACTCAAACATGGAGCAAGCCACCAAACAAACAGGTTCCCTACCAAGGGCTCTGCATGGCCTAAAAGTGAGGTCCGTTTGCGAATGCCCCGATGTCCTTTTTCGAGCCTGCATGTGTCCAGTGAAAATACGTCCGGCAAGATAAACGAGTTTGGGCCGGAAGGTATCGCTTTCACAACTCAGTGCAAGCTTCACAACAAGTACCCAAAGACCCCCGTGTAAATTCGAAGAATCACCTGAAAGTCTGGTAAGGTTTAAAGGTCAAACGTGACACGCAATTGGCGACCAAGCTGGGATCGAAAGAGAGTTGCAATCAAGCAAAGGGAAGCGGCCAATCGAAGCAGCTGGAACATTTCTCGATTTGTTGCCAGCCAGGACAACGGCTCCATGGCAAAATACAAGAGCGGAAATCGCTGATGTTACTTCCCCCACCCTGGATCTCCAGCGCCAGAGACGGAATGGCGCCCATCATCTGGCAGTACCTGGCCCATGAGGCCGAGCAATGGGCACGCCAAGGGAAAAACCACATGGCACATGCTAAGCCTTGAACCGGCGCGAGCCTTGACAGTGAGCCTTGTCAAACAACAGGATGTTCCCCAGACTTTCAGTGGGGCCTTCCGGTTTTGTCGATGTTGTGCATCGTGTTGGCACATTTAATATATATCTAGGTTTGGTATCTGATTCTACTGGTTGCTCTTTGATCCGCGGACAGGGCAAGCAGGGCACTCGGGCACCCCTTGTTTCCGAGGCCCTGCCCCCCCCCCCCCGGGGTTTGTTAAACTATGTTAAACTGAAACTGCTTGTTGCCGAGGCCTGGTGCACGATAAGCCATGAACATCAAATATCCCTCAACATGGCGAAGCTCCTCATCTTTCATCCTCAGCTCAGGAAACCTGTGCATTCACCTCACAGCTGCTCCTCCATGTGGGTTGCAAGCTGTCAAGGTGATCCCGAATTTTCAATTCGGCGGCGCTGCTTGCCGCTTCTTGCACCAAAAGCAAATCACGCAATTTGGGGGGGGATACTCTTATGAGACAAACAATCACTAAGTGGGGGGGAGGGCCGCACCTCAAGCAGCACAATCAAGTGAAACCTTTGTATGAACTTCCAGCAATTGAATCATCCGGGTGGCATCTAAAGCAGCATCGACCCATAGTCCTGCGTGTTACTTGGCGCGACCTCTTCATGCCAGCCAAACAGCAAAACACAACGCCGATCTGGAGCGTCGCCCCCACGAAACCAAAAAGAACGGCACGACAACTATGCATGAGTGCTTTCACAATAGCATGTTAAGGGAACCCAAAAACACAAACCATCCAACTCAAGGGGCCCCTAATTTTGCGAAACCCTCATATACGTGTGTCTGAAAATAGGAGTTTATGGTTGGTTTCCCTTCAAATGTCGAATCATGTGCCGTTTCAATACACCTCGAAAGCACAAATTTGTCAAACTCCCGAGGCGCCAACCTGTCCAAGCAACAATTCCACACTCCATGCTAATTATCTGACATCCTGATAGTACTTGCGGAAGCCAACCCCCAATTTTACTTTTCACCCCAACCCGTCCCTCGCAACCTAAAAAAGCGTACCAATCCAAAAAAAGAACGGCACAGTCTTGAGGAGCCAAGAGCAAGCCCTGGATTCCTAGTGATGGGTTCTCAACCCCCCCCCCCGCGCCAGCCCAGCCCCGACAAGGTCTCCTACCACTTCCTTCCAGCGGCCACGCTTCCCGTCCCGCGGGCGATGCGAGCGCCTCTCCAGGAGCTTGGCCAACTCCACGCTGGAGGCGCTCACCACCGGGCTGCCACGAGAGACGTGGCGGGCGGTGGATTTCACCCGGCGAAGGCACCCGGCGAAGGGTGGGAAAAAACCTGGGGGGGCCGTTCTTTGTTTGTTTGTGTTTGTTGTTGTGTGTCAAAGTAGACATAAACACAAGTTGCCCTCCCATCCAGGTGGAACCTGACTGGGCGGGCCTGTGGAAGATCATTGTTGGTTTAAAGTGACGTTCTGGTGAATGGGAGGGTAAGCAACACAAAAACATCAGTCTTCCTGTTACCCAAGGAACCGCCCCAAGAGGGCGTGGGCCCTCAACTGCCTGCACAAATGAAGCGCGCCTATCTGAAAGTCTGAGGCTTCTTTGAAGGGGGCTGGCAACTGCACAAGGTGGAACGAGTGTTGCGCAAATTCCAGGGTTAAGTAGCAGGCCATACAATTCTGGGCAAATTGTTGTACTTTGCCAACACCAGTATAAATGTTGAGGAATGGCCAGCAAGTGGACTTGGCTCCTCTTGAACCCAGCTTACAGGCAAATTACTCAAGGACTGAGATGGCGATGCTATAAATCCAGTGGGCCAGTGTTTGATCAGTTCCACTGGCAATTCTTCACACTTGGGCGCGCTGGTCATACAAGGCTTCCTAGTTTGCAAGCCCAACAAGGCATGCAGAAAAGAAACAGTCAGTTGCGGATTGTGTGCAATCCGTCCCAAGCCTCTAAGTGTAAACATGTGTGCTGACAACCACATCTCTGATCAGTGGACCACAAATGTGTCAATAGACATCTTGCTGGGAAGGAGCCAGTGCGCTGCCGCTACTTCATGGCATTCCGCGCCAGCGTTTACCTCGTCCGAAGATCCGGGCCACGTGCTAAGGCGCAACAAGCTACGGAATTGCAAGTTAACGGACAAATGCCGGGGAACAGCCTGCGCAGGGCAGTTTCCAGACGTACACGTAGGATTGTCCGTGTGTGTGATCATGCTTGCTCCAAAGAACGGACTTGGCACACGGGCAGCTTGCATGAACCTATGATCTTCACCATCAAAGGAAACGGTGGAAGGGGGTAGTTTCCTGACAAGCATATACAAAGGAGCAGTGCTGGGCAGAACGACGACCTACAGCCCCCTCGGGCCTGCTGTTGGAGTTGCTCAGCAGGCCGCCAATAGACTCCGACTCGCCCAAGTCTGCGCGGCGGCGCCATGTGGCTCATGGAGTAATAGAGAAAGATTACCGTCGTTATTCGGCAATCAGACTTGTTTTAGAATAGAAGATACACCCCCAAATGGGCCGGGTTGTTCACTTCCCGTTGAAACAAACCAAGAAATGATATATAGATCTTTCCTTAACATAAGCCGAGAACAAACGAAGATCGCACCCTGTTTTCAAATAGTGGCTCGGCCCGCATTGCGTTGCTTGGCTTTGCTTCACATAGAGGCAGAAACCGTACTGTCGGAGCGTTTCTCACTCGGGTGGCGACCAACCGGCGGGGTTTCTGCCTGTGGATTGATTTTGATGTTGAAATGATTGCTGCTGGTTGATGTATGGAGATAGCTGAGTATTCTTATGCTGGTGGTTTCACCATCTTGGAGCTTAAAAGGCTGGATAGCCATAGCAGTCTCTGCATCTCTGTCTGTCTCTAACACAGGTGCTAGTAGCAAGCACCTGCTTAGACAAATCCACGTCGCAGCATTAAACGCTTCTCACCTCAACAAGTCGCTACTCGACAGGAAGCCCATCCCCTGGACCTTCTGCGGGTGTCTGGCCGCTTGCACATCGGCGTCCCCGCCAAAACACAATAGAGGCACCTCTATTTCTGGGGGCCCTGTTTCAGTGCCGTGCTAATTTCCGGAGTAGATGGGGCGCCATTTGGCCTTGCCTGTTGGGATGAGAAAGCCAGTAGGTCGCATCCGCGGATCGCAACATCTTGCAGTAACTCTGCGTAGCATTGAGTAGCACTGAGCCCCCCCCCAAAAAAAACTTGCGAAAGTGGGCCAGATTCAGGCCGTTGCCGTCAAAACACGGATCCAGTTGCATGGCCTTACTCGATACCGGCGGACAAGCTCTTTTGCTTTGCTCAAAAGACAGGTCCGTGGCCCCCTGCGTGCGTCGTTATGCGCCCAAAAAACGGGTGGGTGGTATGGGGGGGGGGGAACTGTAGGTCGAGGAACCATAGTAAAGTAGCAAATCGGGTGTCGTCCCCCTGTTTCCATCCATGGGCCAAGCATGCCTAACACGTGAAACCTGGTGAGCCGAGTCTTGATGGCCTTATACATCCCCTGAAACATCACCGTGCCAAATGGACAGCCGCAAACATGGGGCCAATACAGTAAGCGACGTGCGATTCAAATTGAGGGAACCCACCAAGCAAATCGATCAATGTCTCAGGATAATCGGATAGGGGGACTTTGGTCAAGTGGTGTCCCTCCAGAAATGCAAAAAGACATTCCATGAACACAGCTGTCACCGGCTGGCTTCGATTCTCCCCGTTTCGGGGCCGAAGCTTCGGGTCCCGGCTTCGATCTTCGATCCAGTGCTGCAGCAAGGCCTCGGGACTCGAAAATTGGCGGGCCGGCGCGGTCCCTTGGAACCGTTTAAACTGGGCCCTAGGGTTCAACCGCCATTAAAACAAAGGTTGCCCCACTTTTGATGATAAAACTCCATGGTGGTTATATGAACCCCCATTGTTTTACTGGTAGATTGAACAGTAAGGGTGGGGTCTCTGATTGAACAAATAACCCAGATAACATCTGAGTGCAAGTTAACCACGGAGAACTACCTGCGATAGCAGAAAAAAAACTCAGTTGGAAAAGCATGGATATATGTTCAAGCGTCATACCTGCAAATGAACATGCAACCCAACAGGGGACGCGCGTTTTTTTGGAAGCACCACTTAACAGGAAGTGCTACACAGCTAGGTCATAAAGCCTGCAAGTGGGGAATCCGGAGTTGGGCAGGACATGCTATTTTTGCGGTGGGGAATGTATCAAAACTAGGGACCCTCCATGAGAGTGTTTTCGCGTTGTTTTTCCGCGGCCCAAACAGCGGCCCTTAGATCTCACACAAAGCCGTGGCAGGGTAAGCCGAGGTCTGGGCATGATCGTCGATGTCATCGGTCTGAGCAAAGGGGTCATCTTCAATCAGGTTTATGCGACTCAGCATAAATGCTTGGGTCGCACAGAATGTTGCACTTGTCAGCACGCATCCTCATGCTAGTAAACAAGGGGCCCACACTGAGAAAGAACATTGGACAACAAAAAGGTATTGTCATCAAGCGACCCTGGTTCGGTTTGTGCAACACCGACGAGATCATAACATATCCAGTTGTTCATGAGGTCTTCACTGTCTAACATTGATGACAACCGCACATCAGCGATAGACATTGAAGCACATTGAAACTCAGGGTCCCCCACAGAAAGCAAACAACCCACCTCCATCCAGAGCAATGCTGTGCCAGGTCTCCCAAGTCACTTGTCGATTGGCAACAACATGTCTCCCTCCCAAGTTCCATTTGCCACAAAAGTAAGCAACCATCCATTGTGATCTTTGCTTCAGGAAGTTGCCTTTGGTCGCCTTCTAAACCGAGACCTCAGCACACGACTCAGGCAACTGTCCGACTTCCAAATCAAGCAACCTGCCAGGGCCTTGAAAGGCCTCGCTGAAAGGGGGAGAAAATATATCGGACAAGAGCAACTGGGCCCTTCAATGTTGAGGACATCTACAAATGGCAGCACCTTCCTGTTGCCTTGCCTTCACCAAGCCCAAAGACACGAGTATCAACCGCAAGCTCTTGGACTCCAATGATTCCCAATTGGGGGGCCCCTTGGACGGTAGTTTGTGTCAGCCAACCATTCATTGCCATATGTCCCAAACAATTCCGTGGGACAACTTGCTTGCGCGTGCGTGTGTGCGCGTGTGTGTGTGTGTGTCTTGATAAAGACTTGATTGCAAGAATACTTTGCTAACCGAGGCCAGGAGTGCTTCTAGCCGACCCTGGCTACGGAAAACCGACAGGCGAACTATCTTTATTTGCTTGAAGTCAAACGACCCCTTAAACAGACGTCTAACCATGGCCTTTTCATAATGTCCGTTTCTAGTCGAAAGTGACAGCACTCCCTCCATAATGCAGGCCCTTTCTTGAGACGGTCCTTTCACTTCAACCAAACAATGACTACCCTCCCGTCAAACAACATGGAACCAACCGCAGGGTTAATTACTTTCCCTTGGAGAATGCAATCTGCTAGAACCCCCAAACAGGCTCCATGTGAGTGGATGGGGTAAGGCAATACCCCTCTCCCGTCCACATTCCGCCTGCATGGTGGGAGAGCCCTGCGCGGCAGGCTTTGCCTTCAGCCCTTTGAGAGGTTGCAATCCCCGTTGCTTTGCAGGTTTCTCAACTTCACCATAGTCTGCAAAAAACATATGGCACCCAAAGAATTTCCACCAAAACTCCTCTCCAAAACTTGTCCATGGAACCTACATAGGACGTGCCCCAAACCGAGCTTCCGCCAAGGTGAATCTGGAGACTATCCGAATGAGATGGCGGAGAGGACCTTCCAGGATTCCACTTTGGGAAACGAAGGCTTCAGTTCTCACCAGCAGGAAACCGGCCTCTGCTGTGGGCAAAACGCAAAGAACGGTGTTTCCACAAAGCTGTTCAAGATTTGACACAGAGCATGGGTCTTTTTGAAGCGCACACATCTCGCCGTGCGTCGCGGGCACTTCGGTGCGGGACATTCTGGGTAGGGCGACTGTCGGTGGATGTGTCACGCTGGAGACCTCATGTTGGAGAAGGGGGCGCCTGTCTTTTGGCTAGTGACTGGCTTCCGTGGGTGTCTCTTGGAGGAACACCGTGGACTGGCAGTCCTTTTGCCGCCGAAAAGGGCTGGCTGCATGATGCCTTCCATTCAGGCAGTCTAAGTGCAACTCGATGACGTTATGGGGGCACCACATGTGGGTTTGCTTCTTTGAGGAGGCCCCCAGTTTGGTGGTTGTCCTTTTGGTTTCCCTTCAAAACCACCCAAAAAGGCCGCATACCCCGAAAAGAACGACAGCATGTCTTTTGTAGCCGAACCAACGGCTAGGTTGGCCCTGCCTCAAAGAAGTCCTCGAGCTCGGCCTCGGACCTCGATCCGTCGGACCGGGAATCCGGGGGCCCCATGGACCGGGAGTCCGGGTGCCTTCCGTCCTCGCTGGAGGTTCTCACCCAAAAGCGGGCTCCCCTATCCTGAAAGTTGTACGACCATTTCAAAGCCGAAAACCAGGGATTCCCAGGCCTCCATGGTAAGCTGGGTTTGGGCGCCAGCTCACCATACAATAGGCAGACCCAATGACTGGGATTCTATGCAATTGGTCATACAGTTTGGAAGTCCTGCCAGTTGCCGCTGCAGGCTTCTTGTCACTATGTTTCACATGACCACATCTGGTTGTCTACAATGGTAGCTGCAAGCACCCGGGATGTATAGCCCTTGTTACAATCCTTTCGAAATCAGGTAGCAGCACCTAAAATCGCCAAGGACTTTGAGAGCTTCTTAGCAAGCGTTTCCAAGCGCTGACCCATGGTCTCTCCTGTTGGCTTCTTACTACGATTGCAAAAAAAAAAACTCAAATGGAGGTGAGGTAGTCTCTCGAAAGTGTGCCCATATTTTGATGTCCAGAGGTATTCCACAACGTGGCTCAGGGTTTGCCCATATTTCACAACCTCCTTGACAATTGGATCATGGCGTCTGATTTTGAGCCACATGCACTGCGATCAGACCCTCGCTGCACACGGGACTGCTGACTGCTGACCATAGGAACGACGTAACACGGACACAACATGAAGGCAAATTACTCGTGGGTCACTCAAACGATATGTCCGAAGCTCATTCCTCGTGAGTCACGGCACTCAAACGATATGGGTATGGGTCAAAATTGAACCACCAGGGGACCGCAGGTTTTCGTCCTTCTTTTCATTTAACAGGGTTCCATTTGTGGTACTTAGTTTTGACCCACAGCCATATGTCCGAAGCCCCGGGACAGCTTGAGCAGGCCATCCAGTCACACAGCAGCAACACAACCGCCTTCCCACCGCCGAGGCTCCTCTGAGCGCCCCTACGCCCTTGGAATCTCCGGCTGAGCGGTGGCCGAGTCAGAAAAAAACACAGAGCTGCTTCCAAGACCAGAACGCCCCTACATGGGTGTGGCTCAACAGAATCCAAAATGAAACCCTGGTACATGGAAAAGTAGACTTTGAAACCTACGCAATTGAGAGGTTTATACAATTTGGAGCCACACCTACATGGTGTTTTGCTGGACTTCTGGGGGGCGAGCAGTGTTTCTACACGCTTGCGAATTCACACATGCATCTCACTGCTGTTTGCTGATTCTTTTGGTGCTCCTGACGAAGAAAACAACTTGACGAACATATCATATCACTCAAAGCCAAATGACCGCACACGTGGCACCGGTGGAAAAACAAAACAGCGCCAACAACTGAACAACCAAACGTGCAGTTGTGCTTGACCTTTTTGCTATGAAATGTAGCCAGCTGTTTAAAAAAAAAAAAAAAACAGAGCGGCCTGCTCAATGAACATCTTGGAAACCTACGTAAGTGTTGCCAGTGACCTGATTCATCCACCCGCGAATTGACGGCTTCTTTATCAGGAAGCCTGCATTGGTAAAATCGGTCTCAAACCCAAGGCCTTGGTGAGGTCGCGTTGCAACGGGCCAAGCATAGCAGTCCGCGAAAAAAGCAAGCCCGGATCCGGAGTCTTGACTGTCAGCAGAAAGCAAGCGATGTCATTCGCTGTTCGTCTCAAAGCCACGGAAGTCAATATTCTTGGCCCCCAATTTGCATCGGTAGCTTTTCCCATTTTGTGGGAAGCATAATCATTTTTGAGGTAATCCCCAGTGGTCATCCCATGTAAAGGACCTTTTGATCAACCCAATATGGAAACCTCAAACAAACCTCAGAAGCATTGACTCTACAAGAAGACACGGCCATGTTCGGTTTCGCGCCTTGTAGTTCCGGAAGGGATTGCTCTCACGCTCTTTTGGCCTTGGCCACAAGTTGAAGCACATCGCTCTTGGACTAATCTTGGCCAAGCTTAAGCTGGTTTTGCATCAATGGGGGCAAGATATTGTAAAGTGCTGCAAGTCGAAGGCACACAACGTCCATCAAACTCACTCAAGGCTCAACGAACCGGAGGCGCATTCCGGCTCTCCCAAATTCCGCCGGTCTTCTCTCGGTTGCTTTTCCGAGTAAGCGGCCTTGGGAAAGCAGAGAAAGACACGTGCCACGTGCATGGCGGCTTGCCTCCGCAAAGAAGAACCAACCTCTCGCGAGAAAGAAATGCGGGTCATTTAGCACGCGCCTTCCCGCCGCTGGCGCTGCCAACCCCGCAGAAAAGGGGCCATGCGCATTGGAGCCATGACTGCAATGGACAGCTCTGGTTCGCTATGGGACCCCTAGGCTCCGGGCGCGGCTGGCTTGGCCTGGGCAATTGCGGCGCCCAGCGGGGCCACCAGCGGGGCGCGAGGGGGGGGGGGCTTTGCCCGAAGTCCTGGAGATGATGGTTTAGCATTGAGAGCATGGTCACTGACACGCTGAAAGTTCCAGGTGAACCTCGCACCGAACAAAGACCACTGGCAAACAACACTTGGGCCTTGGAACGCTTCCAAGCACACAGCGACCACACATTAGAGTACTAATGCTCTGAATTTCACGCGAGTGATGTGTATATAGTCAAACACGTCTAGGAGACGATACATGAGAGTATTTGGGACAAAATTGAGCAGGAGCCACAGGCAAAATCAGACTGACAAATATCAGTATTTGTTTTCAGTCCCCCGTCGTTTCCGGGTCTTGATTTGTTGCAGGGGTATCATGCAAGGGTATCCGTTTTGGAGAGCCCCCATCGTTTTCCATGCAGATTGCAACGTCAAAATGACACCTTCATTAAGCCTGCTTCATGATGTTTTTTACCCCGTCTCACATTCGGGCTTCTCAAAATGGGTGGAATCCTTGTTGGTAGGCTGTATATACATGGACCAAAAACAACATACCATTTTAGGGTCTCCCTATCTTTCAAAAAAAAAAAAAAACAACAAGACGCATATGGAGACCTGATGCATGGCTGCCAATTTTTCGTGGCCAAAAGCAAAGCGACGCATCCGGCCTCCGTGCGCGGCAGGGCCTAGTTGCAGCTGCCCGTTAATGGGGCAAGCACAGGTTTGCAAGAACAAATGGCTGTGGGTCAAAAATGGGTACCCGAAATGGAACCTTGGCAAATGGAACCAAAGACTAAAACCTGCTTTCGCCTGGTGGTTTAATTTTGATCCATACCCAGATATTGGGAGGTGTGAAAATCAGTGGCGGACCCCCACCAAAGAAAAAAGAAGAGAATAAACATGGGTGGGGTCCTTTTTGGGTTCCTTTCAATCCAACCTGACAAACGGTACTTATGGTACCTTCAAAAACACACAGGCTCAAATACATGATTGTGTCCAAATATTGGGAGCCTGCCAGCCGAAAGCCGTGCGAGCCATGGTTGCCACTTGTGGAGCCTCCTATACTCGAAATATACAAATTTGAATGTGGAAGAAGTCATCAAAAGAACTGCGTTGCAGCCTGCCTTGTCAGAGTTGCTTAAACGTCAACAACATCTTTGGGAGTCCCATCATACCACAAGTACACGGCTTGCGGAACTGCAATGTAATCTTCCACCGTGACAGGAGTAAGCATCGCAAGAAAACCAAGCTAAGGCGAATCAATGGATGAATCTCCGATACAAGCTGCACATGTTCACTTTGCAGTGAATCCTCACTGCCAGCTTGTTTTGGCTCATTGGTCGCAAATGCCTCCAGAAGAAAACTCCTTCGATCCATTCAACAGACCCCACCCCACCAGTGGAACATCATGACTGGCACCGCTACTGCGCAGCTGAGTTTACTGGCCGGCAGCAGAAAAACAAGCAGTCCAAGTTCAACGGCCAAACAGGAACGTTTCCAATGTTTTTAAAGCATAGACACCTTTGGAAAAGGATCCTGGGCATACATGGTTGCCTTGAAGATGGAGTTGATCCATCCTCTGAACGTTCTGCCAACATTGAGGCTCACATCTGAACTGCATGTGCAAACACGTCCTTGTGTGGCTCGCTTTCCCTGGGAATCTGATTTGGAGGTTTTCAACCCTCCAGTGGATGATTATTCGTGGGATATTGGCCTGAAGCCCAGCAGTCTCAGCGCCCTACCGGCTTCAAGCGCTCTGCTCGTATGAGCCGGTAGTTCCTTGCAGCTGCAGACTTCCCTCTGAGGACTCCTGTAATTAACTCCCTTCTCTTGCTGGTGCTTTTAGGTAGGGAATGAGAATTGGACTGAACCGGGGGATTCCCTTGAAGGAAACCACAAGGGATGGTTTGTAGGGGTCATTCCAACTCATTCCCTGCTGAGCGCCAGCAAGTTTTCCTAGCCTGATTCTGCCTGGGAAACCAATGGTGGATCTCTTGGCAGGGTTGCTGTGGTCTGTGGCTTTTCGCATCTGATCCCCAGGTTTAGCTCACAGGAATCACCCGAGGTATCAGACATCGTGTTGAACAATTCCCGGAAACCAGAATGAACAGCCCAACTAGGAACCTTTATGTTTGTTCAAGTGCTGGCTCAAGTTAGTTAGTTAGTTTGTTAGTTCATTTCAACAGCTATCATTGGTTTGTGGGATCAACCTACTTTGTTGCACTCTGCAACCTGCAGGATGTTCTCAAGTTCTGTCCAGTTTCCTCTTGTCCTTGTGAGATATGCAGAACCCAACCCACACACGTAATAGTCGCGCTTCTGGGAATATGTGGGATTGGAGAAGATTGCCCCAGCCCACATCTCCATCCTCGTCAAAGTTCCAATGCAGAAACAAACAACGCGCTTAGTTGGTTTTTAGCTTGTTCCTGCTCCAGGGTTCAGTATATACCCTTTCAAGTATCACCCTCAGAAGCCAAATGAGTTGCCAACGAGTAATTCATGTGGCCATGGGTCAAAATCCAAATCGTACCCCCAGTGAACATCCCAATCCCCACTAAAATGGGTTCTAAAATTCAAAACGGGATCGGTTTGGTTTTGACCCACAGCCACGTTTGAGTGGGCAACAATCGGTGGGACCCTCAAAGAACAGCTCCTGGAGATACACCGATAGCCGTCAGACGGAATCCAGCCTTGCCACGGGCAATCGTTGCCAGGTGTCCTGAGAGCAAGACGGGCGTGAGTACACGTTGCAACCGGTACCCTATTCGTTCGAAAACAAAAACTAATACCTTGTTCCAGCACCCAGGGAGTGCTGTTTTGGACCTGCACTCAGTTTTGGACATGCATAAAAAGCGACCTTGGGGTGCTTGGGGTTGACCAACAGTTTTGTTTCGAGGGTGACAGCTGAAATGGGTCCAAGTAAGAGAGGCTTGGGGTCTCGCGAATACCCAGAACCCCGAGAATGCTATTGCGATTTTGTTCGGCGTTTGAAAGCTTTGAACAGGACAAAGGCACGAGTTTGAACTTTGGGCATCATACTACAGATCAGGGGCTCCCACACACCTCTGGTGAGAGCCGAAAGTATCTTGTAAAAAGCAAAAAACAAGCTCGGGCATGGCTGAAATCCCCTTTGAGCCCGAGAACTTTCTGAACTACTGCCCGAGCATCCGTGGACCTCTTGAGAAACCTGCATTTGTGTCGAAAAAAACCATTGAGTTGGGCTTCATAGGAAGCAACACAACACAATGCGGCGAAAGAATTGTCGTGCACCATCTATTTTCCGCGAATTGTTAGTGATGGAGAGCCCTCCCAACTTGTCACTCAAAAAGTGCCCTGACACGGAAGTGAGAACCGTCGATCTCCCAGGAACTCTTATCATCCAGCATTCCCGGCCAGCTTAAGACTCTCAACTGGAGCTTGCCTCTTTGCAACGATGCATTGACACTGGATCCTTTGCCTGTACTGTTCGGAGATGTGTCTATTGTATTGTCAAAATTGTTGCAATAAGCTTGGCTGCTGTTGACCCCTGTGCAAACAAGATTCAAGGATGCAACTAAATAGTCATATACATATAATAATTATTGCAATGAGGTGAGTTGAGCAAGGTCCCCCTTGTTGGCCCTTGTTGTTTCACGAAGACACCCAAACTTTAGGACCTAAACAAGCCAAGTGAGGTTCAGAGTGCGAAAATGGACCCACAAGGGATGTCACAATGGTCCACCAAAACCGAACCGCTTCGTTATCCTTGTGCTTGCAACAGGAAGACCCTGAACAGGGTGGGTACCATCCGAGCTTCTCAAAATAGCGGACCCACTTTAGTCGGTGCTTCTAAGGACACCAAGAGGAAACCAAACCATTTACGGGGATCCCCGCTTTGAGAAAGCCCTCATGTTTCATCCACCGCCGTTCAAACAATCTGATTTGCTGGCCATTTAGCAAACCCTCGGGTCTTCTTGCTCAAATCAAGTTTGCCTCACTCTGCCCGGATGGGGTGCTTGCGTAGTGTGCACCGCAAATCACTTTGGCCTTCTCTCCCAACGGGCACCGTCCCTGTTCCCAAACAGAAATCACAACCATTCCAACCAGCGGCAAACAGAACATTTGCATTTAACATTTAGCCATTTGTCGAGGGAAAGCAATATAGTTGTGCCTATTCTTGAGGGTAACCTGTTTGTTTTTAGTCTAAAGGGAACAACCAAAAGAAAAACCACCGTTTTGGGGGGTCCCCTGAAACAACGCATCACACCCATGCTGTTTACTAGACTTCGTGGCATCGCATCCAGTTCTCTCTCGCAGCAGGTCCTGCTCAATGTGGGAGGCCTTGAGCCGTGCCCAGGAATTGAAGTGCAGGGAGTTGAAATAGTCGTGCGCCTGACATACAGCCGAGTGTGACAGGTCGCTGGAATTTATCCTGTGCTGAAAGGCGGCCCTTTCTGGTTTCACCGTTGGAGGGCAACCCACCACACCCCACAAGGGATAAACCGGGTGCTGCTGAAGAATTGCGGGATGCTTGTATTGAGAATTCGCTCCCGGCGCACTCGCTGGGTCAGTGGCTTACACCGCAAGGGGCCTTGTTCTGGACCTAAATCCGTCCAGGCGGGGCAAGGCCTTTCTTGCTGCTGTGCCCTTTTTGTGATAAGTGTCAAGTGCCACAAAGACAATCGGTACACTATGCAGGACACCCTGTGCATTGATCACTGCCCAAATACACCTATAGTAGTTCACCAAGAGGCGACACAGTGGCTCCAGATTTGTCACTACGATTCAATGAGAGACGCATAAACCACCATGATTGCCAGCTGTTGAGTCACAGGGCGCAGTCTAGCTCTTGCAACAGAGCACTCCAAACGGTCCAAACAATCATTTCATGTGTCAATGTGAAAACCACAAAAGTCATGACATACGACCAAAAGGGATGCATTGGTCAACAAGGTCCACCAAACAAAACACAGCTGCGTCTTCAGGCCCATATGATCAAGCAAGCACACACACACACACACAGTTTGATGCAGCAAAGCCTCCAATCCGTGTCTCGATGTTGCAGCCCGCGCTTTCTGTTATGTTTTACTATCACATGGCTATTCCTGACATCGACCGAAGTGGTTGATGCAAAGCTTTGGGGATACTTTATCCATTCACAAGTGTTCTATACCAATTCTGCGTCGCCTGTCCCGTAAGAGCTCTCGCTGTTCAAGGCTTCTGTCACCAAGGCTGTGAGAAAGCCGGGTTGCGGTTGGGGGCCCTTGTCCCAAGCGCACCGTACTGCAATGATGCTGTCGTCAACAAATGAACACCTTGAACTAGCCAAGATTGGCAAATCTAGCTGATCAATACAAAGGTGCGCCGAAGCATGTGCTGCGCAACTCGGCGGCACGCACACACACACACACACTTTCCAAACCCCAAGAAGAATTGCATCACACGGTGACCTCCGTCCCACGAACCAATCTAGAATATTGTTGTTCGCATGTGTTCATGGTTTATGGTTTTGTTTGCATAAAGAGCTGCTCAGGCCCTGATGTCAAAAGACTCCAAAACAGCTGCGACAAAGCCCAATTCAATTGGTCCTTGTATGACCGGGAGTTTCCAAATTTGCTTCCTGTTGCATGATTTTGGCAAATATGCAAGAGTACCGTTCCCATAAATAGGCACCAGGATGATAGAATAGGTAAACTGTGATTTTCTACTACCTCCAAAGCCCGCACCAAACCATAATTACGGAAACCAAACCGGCGTTTCCTTTTTTCCTTCACACTTTTAACGATGGGATGAATCCAATAGGCATAATACCTCCAATTCCTGCAGCCTCGACCCGCTCTCGCGTATTTATTTGTACGCACTGTAGATACTGCCTCAACCCAGCCAGCGACCCGCTTTTGCCAGCGGACTTCAGAATTCTCAAACCAGATGTGTCTTTTAAATTGCAACCAAGGTCTCTGATGGGTGTCTAGCTTTGTCTCCAAATCTGACCCTGAAAATGGTCATGTCCTTTTAGCTTCCCTTGAAACGCCAACCAATAGACAGGTTCCCAATAAAAAAAGACGCCCGTCTGTGGCTCAGAAGCGCCTTGGTCTTCAGCGTGTTCCGCAAAGGCTGGGACCTAACAGCAAGGAATGCGTTGCTTGCTTGTGCGAAAGCCAGGGAATGAGTTGGTTTCCTTTAAGGGAATCCCCCTTCCGGTTCATTCTCAACTGCCTGGCTCATTCCCTACTGAGCACCAGCAAGGTTGGTGGGTGGTTGGAGGGTGGTTGTTCGCTAATGGCTTCTGCTTGGTCTCCTGTTGCGGCTGTCCTCCCAAACTCAGCCCAACGCTCATGTTAAGATTGTCCTTTGAGGTGGCCATGGCGCTTGAATGCCTTCAGGAGGTTGTGGGACAAGGCCCAAAGACGATGGACCGAGCCAAGCCTGGGAAACACCCTGTGTCACATCTCGATCAGATTGGAGTTCAAAAGGCCGTGAGCATCTCTCCATTGACCTGACCTTGCAAGGATGTCATGACCAATGCGTGGCGTGGGAATGTGGATAACATCCTTATTCAAACATATACGAGGGGGCACGACAACTATCCAGCAAAAGCACAAGGGACAACTCACAAGGCATATCTACAAGCGATCGTCTCTTCACATAGAAACGCCCCCCCCCAAAGTTCGAGGAATTGCCTGAGTGAATGTCATCACCTCAAAGCCAACGACGCTTTGGTGGCACACCTGTTACCAGCCTGGCTGCCACGGTCCACCAGGCGCAACGCTTGATGAAGCTCAGTGAGACAAGTGGAATCGAAAGAGGGAAATGTGGGAAATGGGTTTTGGACAAGTCACACCATACCCATTTATACCATCCAGCCTCTTCCGGTGTCCTTTGGGCGAACATCGAAACATACCCAGTTTCAAACTGGAAGTGGATAACTCCAAAACTCGTTAACTGCCATCCTCTTGAGCAGGCCCCGGTCCACTTCCTTATAGCGCTAAAGCGGCACCAAAGCTCTTGGTTTCCCAAAAGCCAACCTGTCCGGTTGAAACGGCATGCTGCTTTCCCCTTGAACGTCTACACGGCAAAAAACTTGAGACAGTTCGGCTGAAGCTGGGGCTCTCAAAAAAGGGAATCGCAAGGAAACCAAGCATCTTTAGGGGGTCCATACTTTGAGAAACACCAAGATATCTTCTGATTAGGTAGATATCCTCTCCAAGTACATGCTTTGTAGGGAACCAACCAGCAAAAAGGAAAATGGCGGGTTCCTTACTTTAATGGTTTGACTGGAACCCTCTAATTCTGTTTGTTGGAAAACGGGCACATGTGTCTTTTCGGGTGCCCGCATGGGTAACCGCCGGTTGTGTCCCCTCTCGATCTACGGTCTACGGCGCCCGGCCACTGCCGGCGCTCCGAGCCTGGCCAGAGAATTCGGCCAGGCCCAAGAAACTGAGTCGCCCAAGTTCTGCAAATCGGTGAACTTGATCAACTCACTAGGGTTCCATAAATAAAACCAACGACAGGTTTAAAGGTACAAAGGGAATTCAGGGGCACTGGCAGAGGACCTCACCAGGTTGGTTTTTGTTGGTTTTGCCTTGGAGGGTCCCCTAGTGACGGAATCGGTTGCAAGGGTGTTTCTCCAAATGTTGGAAGCTGTGTATGTGTATGGTTTTCATGTTTCCGCTTCAAGCAAGCCAGCAAGACGTTCGTGATTTGTAGGGAAACCGGAGTGACAACTGCGTCAAGTTCGTTGAGTCTTGGAAGCTTGCAAGAAGAAACGACCTTGGCATGAGAGCTCATAGTGACGGAATTTGTTGGATTCCCACTTGGTTGTATGGGTTTATGCACCCTCCGCCATCCACATCACTACAATGCTGATAATTCCGACGGTTGCTCACACACGGTGAAACATGAAGGAGCGGTGATTGCGGGTATATTGTATTTTACATAAAACACGGCAATGCTTTGGGAGGCAACCAACAGGAAATCCTTCCGGAGAAAAACCTCATACAATTCACACATCTTCGCTTTTGTAGGGGCAAGAGTCTGATCAGAAAAAGGGGTTGAGGTCTTAAGTGCCCTGGGATCTTGAGAGGTCTGCGCAAAGCATTACATAGTGACCTAAGGCTGCCACGAGAGATGAATCTAAAGCCTATAGTCGAAACCCGTAAGAACAGGCCTGCAAAGCCGTTTGTGGTACGCAGCATGTAAGGAATCACAACGAGGACCCGCCTCGAGAAAAGCAATGGGAAAGGCCCACCGAGTTTCAACTGCCCTGGTATTGATTTCGCCATTGGTGGCACATGGGTGTGTCTCTCTTTTTGGGGGACCCATCAAATGGTGGGTTTCTTTCTGCTTTACTTTTGAAACAGACCAAAAAGGTGTAGTTCAATTCAAACAAAACGACAGACCCAAATGCGCGCCAACCTTCAGGTACCCAGGTGGCAATGTGTCTGCGCGAATCTCGCCAGCCAGGCTCGTCTTGCTGCTCTCCGCCTGCGGATCACGCTGGATGCCCAGAATGAAAACGGGCGACCCTGAAATGGGAATTCAAGATGCTAACCATGTTCTAAGGGTTTTTGTATTACACCCTGGGAATACACCCACTGGGTATTGACCCCATTTAGGCACATTTCCGGATAAAATCGTGTTATTTTGAACCATTCTGGGTCATTTCCCAAGTGTGTAATCCCAGGGTGTAATACAAAATCCCTCTTTTATTTACACATATCGGGGACCTCAGTGAGGGATGTGTTCCGAAAAGAAGCCATCATGAATCAAGCCGGCAATTTGGGAAACCCTGAGGAACATGACAGGAGGCTTACAATTTGGCTTGCTTAGTGCAAAAATAACTCTGACACCAATGCAACAAAGTCGCAATAATCCTACTCTTTGACCTGTACTATAAGGGCTTACATGATTAGAACGGGGCAGCTCGGGACTCGAAAGCCAAATTGAGACATGCTTATAAGATAATAATCACGTTTGACACATTTGGCGAAAAAGGATGGGGGTTCTTTCACAGCCTCATTGAACAATTACATTGCTCACCCAGGTGCTGAATTTGAGCATTTGATTTTAGTGGTTGTGCGTGGCATGCATGTCCACAGCTATTGAAATACCAGGCGCCTCTCAGTGAATTCAAGGAGGATGCTTTGCCACCGCGTCTAAATCTCTCTGGCTCAAAACAGTTGGCATTTCAAACAATAACTCGTAAAACGCTTCTGGAAGCTCCACCAGATTGAGATCAAGCAGCTCAATGAACACGCAATGTCGAGAAACGTTGAGGTGTCAGCTGCAGAAGAAATGTGTCAAAGGGCTCCCAGGCCCTTCACGCGCCTTCTCAAGTCAAGTGTTGTTTGCTCCTTTGACTTGTTGGGTTGCAACAAGTCCCCATCGGGCAACACTTTCAGGTGCTTCTCCGTTGATTCCCTGCAATACTGTGGATGGACGAAATCCATTTCGCGCACCGAGGAGAAAGCCTGGTTTCTGATGATTCCCCAACGTAAATACCAACAAACGGTATGTGGTTCCCAATGCTGACATTTCAATTCAAGAGCTCCTAGCAGCGCACTGATCCCCCAACGCTAGCCCCGGGTCTCCTCATGACCAAAGCCTGGGGGGGGACTTCCTCGTTGCGTGATGGCGGCCTCTATAAGACAACAAAGGTAGAACATGAGAACCAGAAACCGAGGGGGCGAGGTTGGCTGATCCAGAGTTGTCTGTGTCGCACGGACAAAAACCAATCCACCACATGCCAAACGGGACACACCACACACTCCAGCATTTTCCGTGGTGCACCGGCTGAGTCGCTGGATGAGAGCCCTGAAACTTGAGCCGGGAAGAGCAAACGCCCCAGCTCCAAGCTGAGAGTTGAACAGGGGTCGGCGTCCTTGTGCTTTCCTTTTGGGCAAAAAGAAATGCGAGGTTGTGTCAAAACAGGGCGACCCCCAAAGAGTATGGTTTTCCGTTTGGCTCCGCTTTAAACCAACCTGAAAAAGGAACCCTGAAAAAACACAAACGCATTCGATTACCTACTATGGTGGCAAGCTGTGAACACTGTGGGCCTTGTCCACTAAAATGACAGTCAAGTTACCACAGCTACAAACACTTGCGGGGTTGTCTTTTATGAACCCGCTTCCGCTTTGCAAACACAGCAGCAAGAGATCCCGAAACTGGGATTCGCTGTCGTTCAGATTCTCCTCCGGGCCATGTGAAGGTATGCGACGTGTCATTTGCTGAACCCCAAACGTATCGGAAAGCAACCGTGATAAGAGCACCCACACCACTGCGGCATTGGAAAACACAATGCACAAGTTACTTCTCGACCACCGGCGCTCGAGCGCGCAAGCTGGTCGCGTCCCCAGCGCAAATCTGCAACTGGACTTACTACACAATCAAAGCCGTCAAAGGGGGCCGATTCAGCCCCAGGCTTTCATGGAAACGAAGCTGGATCACTTGAAGAGCAATCGCGTTGCAAGTATTACACCCTTGCTTCCCTATGAAGCGGAACGCTCTTTGGTTGTATGGCAAGGATCCGTGCGCGAAACACGGCAAACAACTGCAAGCCAACTCTCAACGATCGATATCTGGAAATTCTGAAGCAAGGGTGCCTAAGGGAGATGTGTCAGCATTCCCTCTTCTACAGGAAACTGCTCTGGACGAATGCCGGATGCAGCGTTAGCAGTCCTTCATGTCTTCGACATTGAGGACACATGGCTCCGCGATTGCTTTGCGACAAAGGCAACATAGCAACTCCTCAAAGCGTCAGTTTGCCCCCTTTCTTGCCCTGCCCCAAATACAAAGCAAGCAGCTCAGAATGCAGGAACACCGAAAAGAACTGCCCGACGTCCGCCCGACTTAGTAAAGGGCTCCCTTGTTGAAAGCACTTCTGCCCCAATGCGGTGAAGCAATCCTAAAGCCAAGCACATCTTAAGAAGGCCCCCTGTCAGAATGAACACCGCACATGCTCAAAAGGGACTTGCCACAGCAAATGGCTTGTGTGCCACCAGGCATATCCAAAACACAATGTGGCATGGCATCCTGGCCCAGTTTCTGATGATGACTGCACATTCGTCCCAGTCTTAGATATGTTGCATCAGTGCTCCATGAGAGCTGAGACCTTAACTCCCGTGACTGGCCTCTGTGCTAACCTCCGGGTTTCCTTGTCTTGGTTCATGTCTTGTGGAGAAACACACCAAATTGCTCGCTGACCAAGCAGCTTGCCCTCAAGCCGCATCAAATTCGCCTCTGGGCAAAGGAGCCGGCCGGCGCCTGAGTGGCCGCATAGATCTAAAGGAGATACGAACAAATACGGGCTCCCTAAAGAAGTCTTCCTGAGGTCAGGTACGAGACAAATCAAGTATACCCGGACGTGAAAGCGTGGAATATATGTCGTGAGGCCGGCACATACCTTTCACAACTTGAGACATTTTCTGGGCACAACCAAGACCCAGTGTATCAATTTGTACATTGCTTGGTTGGCACTTGTACGCTTGTCCCTTGTAAAGGCCGTACCGCAAGCAAACTAACAAAGCAAAACGACACGAAACAAAGCAACGCAAAGCAACACAAAAACAAACAAAGATAGACAAACAAACAAACAAACAAACAAGCAAGCAAGCAAGCAAGCAAGCAAACAAACACACACAAACACACACAAACAAACAAACAAACAAGCGAGCGAGCAAGCAAGCAAGCAAGCAAACAAATCACCACAGCCAAATCTGCACATGCACAAACCAGCGCTAATTGTATAGCGTGAACCTATGTGAACCTTGACTCGCATGCCTTTTTGTTCGAGTGGCAGACGTAAAGCAACTGGTGGGCAATAGGCTCGGCTCCTGCGCACGAGTTGGCTCCCCGACAAGCTGAGCAAGATAAAATACCAGGGGCAACCCACGGTTTCAAACCAAACTGGGAACTAAATGTCCTACAAAACCAGGGGACTTAACAAGTTCCCTGATTCGGTTTTTGGTTTGTGTCAGACCAAAACAGAAGGTATGTATCATGCAACAAGCCCTGCCTAAATCAGGTTCAAGTGTCAGACCTAGCATGGAAACCAAAACCGGGGGGTTAGGATGTCCTGAAAGGCTGAATCTGCGGAGTAAATCGTGCGCAACAAAAGTCCGCCTGTTGGCGGGCTGTGGAGACAGGGTAAGTGCTTACATGTAGGCTGAATGTCGAATGTCAAACGCTGCACGTCCATGGCAGTTCAGCAATCTCATGTTTACGTTGCTTGCACTGGTGGCAAATCTGCGCTTTGTCTCTTCTGATTTGTGACAGTGCCACGCCAAAGAAGAGACTCTTAGTCCCATTTCAGACACACATCGGAATGTGTCACACATACATAGACATAGACATAGACACAGGTGTATCCCCTCTTGTCAACATATGCGACAATAGACTCATGGACAATATCCAAGTTCAGAAGACCCATTCGCTGTCTCGGATGTAGCATAAGCCGAGCCTAAGCCAACAAGGTCACAAGGAGTCTTGCATCAAGTGGGAGAAACTAGCAATCAAGCGTCTCAATGTATAGTGCACAATGAATTGCAGACCTTTGCGTTGGCCCTTCGCTCAAATGCAAGGAACCCCTCGTACCTCCAGGTTTCGCATGACACCACCAAAAGGGTCGTACCATCGACCCTGTGCACAGCATGATTCTACCCCCCCTAAGGGCATGACTTTGTTCAAGGATGGGGACTTCTTGCAACCCAACAAGCCAACGGGGGCAAAACGGTTCAGAAGGCACTTGAAGGGCTTGGGTGCCCTGCGGTTACTCGGCTTCGTTCAAGGCCCCAAGACCCCTCCGCGCTCGGCCTGCGCCGCCGCCGCCGGCGCCGGCCTCGCGGAAAAGGGAGCATAAGGCCAAAGCAAAAGACTCGCCAGAACTGGAGGTCCACTTCTTGGCAACTCCTGGGCTTGTGGCAAGCCCTCCTTGGCGCGCCATTTTTTTTTTTGAGGGCCTGATGAATGTCAAAGAGATCAAGGCGGATCCAAACTCCCAGCCAAAGCTTCCCGACAAAATTGCTCGTACAAATTGGGGGGCCCTGCTTTTGCAAGTAGATCCAATAGTGGGTCCCTTACAAACCATCTACCCAGGAGGGGTGCCTGGATTTAGGAAATGGTACAATGAAGCCCCGGATTGGGAGTAACCGAGTCCAAAAAACACCACTGATATAGATCATTCTGCTTCTGGATACCGTGCTCAAGTGAAATCACGAAGTGCTTGCAACACGAAAACTATGCCATGAAGTCGTTTATTTATTTATTTTTGGGAGGGGGCCTTTGTTGGGGGCCCTTTTTTGGGGGTAGTTTGAGAGGAAACCGAAAGAAGCACCGCCCAGTTTGGCAGGCCACTATGTTGTGACATGATCAACTGTCATAATTCCCTCGATAGGAACCTTTGCATTGATTGTCCTCTACAGTCAATGGCCATATTCAGTGTCCATGGTCCCCTTTGGGGTTGTGTTTCCTTTGGCCACAAACCAGAACGGGATTTAGAGGGTGCCACTATGTGCCACTGAACAACTGGGATGCAGAAGCCGGCCCTGACAACTCAGCTTCATGAAAGCCCCAGTCTGGGCGTCCAGCGTCCAAAGCTCAAGTGGTGGAGCTTCAGCCAAACAAAAATGTGATCAGGTTGAAGCTGCGTTCACGTCACACACGTGTGACGCAGAGAAGGCTGGTCGGCGTATACACTCCACAAGCAATCTTGAGGTTGTTCCATGTCCATGCCGTCAAAGTCGACATGCAGTTCTTGAGCTGGCCATGCCAGGCTTCGATAGCACACAACGGAAGCAACATAACTTCTGGGGCCGCTACACACGCGTTGCTGCGAACATACGACAATCGAACTGGGGTGGGGGGTGGGGGGAGGGTGGGGTGGGGGGGCCTGACATGGCTCAATAAATTTTGAAAGGGGATCGAACACATCGGCCTCTCGGCCATGTTCTTCAGCAAAGTGGTGAGCTCCTGGCAGGGCGATCGATCCTTCTCCAGGAGCTATCCTTTGCTATCGGTGTGATAGGTAGGGAATGAGAAATGGAATGCACCTGGGAATTCCCAAATAAAGGAAACCACAGGGGAGGGCTTTTCTTGGTGTGATTCCCTATATTCCCTCATTCCCTGCCTGTCGCACCAGCAAGTTTGGGCAACTGGGATGTCAAACACGGACATCCCTGGCTCCCGGAAAGGAACGGAGCCAAGAGAGGGACATTGCAAATGCAACATTTGATCTCCATTCGCGATTCGAGGCCAGTGACTCGTCACCAGTGCTGCAAACCGTTGTCCTTCCATTGCTTGAAGGGTTCCCTTCGTTGCCCATAGGTAAGCAAATGGAACTCGGTCCAGCGTTGGACAACAGTGGCAAATCAAAAACACATCTGCCTAAGATCAGAAGGAACCCCCGCATAGGGTGGGTTCCCACTGGATTCCCTCATAACTGACTCATGACACAAAGAACATCCTCAAACACACAAGGAACACCCATCTAGCAGCTGACAGACCAACGCAGCAACGGTTCCAAGCTGCAATTCGAAGCAGAGGCCTAAGGGCCGTTTGAGCAAAATCCAGTGTCCAACTTTCTCTCTTTCTCTCTCGCTTTGGCTGGCATAATGTGTTTGCCACCTAAATCCCAAGTTGGGTCGGTGTGCCCGGACACAGCCCCGTTTGCTGACTTTCATTTCAACCGTCAAGATGCAGGGCTCTTTTGGCCCTTCATGGAAACCCTGAGCACACAGATCCCATCTTACTCCGCCCTCAATGAGTACTGGAGGAGAGACTGATGTACTGCCTGTGGGGGATGTCCTCAAGTCATCTAGTTTCTGGCTAGGTTCTTGTTTGTCTTGTGGCAGCACTGTCACATTTATCACCCAAACATTGCACCCATTCACGTCTTGAAAAGAGCCATGTCTGTCTTATTCCAGCCTTCTATTCTAACATGAAAGTGAACATTGTATCCGACCTAAATCCGAAGCGGTTCTTAAACCCATAGTTCCCTTACCCCAGCCCAAATTTCAATCTTGCCCAGGGGTTCAGTCAACATAGTCTTGTTGTCGCCCGTGTCCTTTGAAGGACCCCCCCCTCCCGGCCAAACTGATGCGCCATCGACTATGGCTCAAGAACGCTGCTTTGCATGCTAGCTTCAATCAATCAACATCATGTCACGTTTGCCAGCTTTCAGAACGCCCCCACAAGCAGTGTCTTGACAGGTCAGCATGCCGCTTTCGGGTTGCTTCCGAGCAGCATGTTCAGCCTTAACTACATAAAAAAAAAAAAAAACAATGACCATCCTCACCACACCAAACCACAATCGTCGCCAACGTCACTAGAGCCCTCACTGTGCGCGCCGTACGGTTCCACTAGTACTGTCGATGCTGGCCCCATTTCCGCCACGATCATCACCATCATCACCATCATCACCATCATCACCATCTCCAAACTCGCTAGCTGATTCACGTAAATATGCATATGCTCCACGTTCCCCAGAAAACAGTCTTGCTGGTTGATGGCTCACATCTATAAGAAATATCTATAAGAACCGACACCAAGAAAACAAAGGTCCACGCAAAGCCCATGTTGCGTCAAACCATGGTGTGCTTGGATGACCGTTGGGGACAGCTGCTGGCAGGCAGGGCAGTTTGAAGGAGAGCCCGCAGCAAAACCGAAACAAGCTCCACGCAGCCCCGGCAGATCGCCTGCATCGACTTGAACTGTCGATCGCATCGACTCACCAGCTGCGCCTGACAGCTAAGTCGGGAAAAAAAAGAAACGCACTTCTTTAGTGGCCAAAAGCAAGTGCAAACATGTTGCTGTTTACTAAAGTGGTCCCAAAAAGGATGGCCTGAAACCAATTTCCTGATCCTCCTGACATGTGGCGCCTTACTAACAGGTTGTGGGGTACTAAAGCAAGCTGAAAACTTATGATCGCACACATAATGTGTGTACAGAGCTAGGCCCGATCACTGTTTTGACTCTGCTGGATTTCCTTTTGACAACAACGTCATAGAACTTTTCCTGGAACCCTCCTCAGAGTCTGGAACCCAGAGGAAACAATGTGCGTCTTTTTTCAACCAAATTGGAGTGGCCTTTCACTGGCAAAGCAACACACCTGCGCACTGAATCTTGAGGCTTGAATTCAGCAGTTAAACGCACTGAAATAGACTAAAATGGGTGGTGCACCTACCCCAAAATGGTACCATTGGTGTTGACCCACGGCCATGTGCAAATATGCAAGTATACGTACCAGGCATGCACATACATTACATATGCATACCATTCCAATTGCTCCATGTCGGTGACTTGTGACAGCATCGCATATGTACGGCCCAACCTTTCAGGGGCCAAGGGCGCTCCATCTTTGGTATCTGATTCGGAAGGGAAACGCACAAGTGAGAAAGCGCCGGCTCTGAGGGTCTTACCTGAAGGGAAAGCGCCAAAGAAGACACTGGGCTTCTCCCACCTGCTGCTGTCGGAGGTCCAGCATCTGCCGCTTCAGTTCCTGGTTCTCCGCCGAGATGGTGCGGTTGCCTCAACTGCCGAGCTAGGCTGCAACACAGTCAACAGCAAACAAGGAAATCCTGCCGCGTAAAAAGTGTTGATCAAGAACCTTCATGCGGTCCAAGGAAGGCTGCTTGTGTTGAGTGGGTCCCAGAATTGTGGTCTGCTCTGTGACCCTCAGCAAAAAGCTGCATAATTTGCTTTGCGGGGCAAACCGGCAAACCTGCAACAGGTGAGCGGGTGACGGGTGAAGGGTCAAGAAAAAGAGAGAGACCAATAATCATGGGTGAATTCGGCTAACATTCCCACGGCTGCTTCACCAGGGTCCTGATAGAAGTTGGGCCTCAAAATATGTCCGTTTGACCGTTTGACGCCCTTAAAGCAACTCGGGGTGACCCACTTCACCAGGCCATTCCTTGAACGCGCTAGACTTCAACAGCCAGGGCGTCAAAGCAACACCTTGCAGCCACCAAATTCATGCTCGCTTGCCAATGATCATGCACGTCATGGCAGACCAACGCATGAAAAGGTGAAGGCTTCAGAGCTCAAAAGCAGCTCCGAAAAGGATACATATATACATAAATAAAAATATGGGGGTTCTCAAAATTGGAGTCGCTTAAGACGACTGGTTACAAATGATATCCCATCACAATACCTACCAATAATAACATAAGAAACTCCATCTTATAGACTTGGACACGCATAATATGTATATATATATATATATAGGAAAAGGGGTTCTTCCAGAATGAGTGGTTTACCTTTCCCCTTCGAACCAAACCAACTCCAGCCCTCAACGAGCCGAGCCACGGCTTTCCAGAGACTCGATGCGGCGCCAGGCGTCACTGCTGGGCTCCCCGGGGAGAGGAGGCACCCCCTGCGTCACAAAGTTGGGGGCTGAAATGATAAGCATCTAGGGGTAGCTTCCATTTCCATTCTTTCCTGGGATCTTTTTTTCAGGAAACCATCAAAAACCCAGGGGAAACAGGCGGTTTTTGAAAAGAACGATGGTTGAAAAGAATGGGGAATCAACCCCTAGAGAACATGGTTGGGTCTGAAGAACTGCGTGTGATTTAAAATGGCCGACCTTTTTTGGGGAGAAGTTTTTCCAGTGCTTTTGGGAATTGCTCGGAATGTATGGGTGTGTTCTAAGGTCGCCCCGCCCAAACAGGAAGTGTTGCATGTAGTTCTCCCCAAACGACCGAAGAACAGGTATCATGAACAAGGCTCCCTGAACTTCCAGGCGACAATGATACCAAATCTCCAGGGCTGAGTACATGAGTTGTCAGTCATAATCACCACCCGGTATTAAAAGGATCTACCCAGAACCATACAAAGAATGAACAAGGCGGCTGCACCCATTTATGGTTGAGATGTTGGGATTATCCCTTGCCAACCTTCACCTTCGCGGGTTTTGAATCTGGCTCATTCTGTGGATGGACGAAATCCTGCACCGCCTAAGAAATGCTGGAATGGTGATTCTCCGGATTCTCCTGTGAATACCAACAAACAATGGTTTGGCGCGGTTTCTCGGTGGTGTGAGATGGATTTTGCACCCATCCCACATGACCGCTTGCTATGCAACCATAGTTAGGGGGTCGAAAGGGATCCAAACGGAGTTCGCGGAGAACCACAGCGGGTGTCGAGAAGGGCGAGTTGCTTTATCATAGAGATTTTATTGTGGTCTGGACAAACATACTTGTTCACTTCGAGTTCAAGTTTCCTACTTTCCAACGAGACATTAATTCAGCGGGAGAGCGTCTCAATTTCAGCTTCCAAGGATAGTTTGATCCTGGCTCCCTTGAAGTGACATCGTCAAACATATCCTGTACGAGTACGAGTACATGGCCGTTCAATGTGAAATCACCCCCATTGTATTTGGCCAACCCACCCCCCCACAAAAAAATGACAGAGCAGCAACGTTAGAGTCACCGGGATGATGGGTCTCGCTCAAAATGAATGACCTCGTTGTTGGATGGTTTCAAAGGATGCCCAAAAACCGGCTACCTTTCGGAGTCGCTGAACGTCACATGCGCATGTACTTGTAATTGTCCAAATCAGGTTGTTCAGCTTGAATGTGCATCCGCAGGCTGACCCGTTTCTGAAGACGCCAGTGTAGAGCCACTACAGTATGAATAGCTCCGACTGGGGGTCTACAATCTACACTCGAAGGGAAGCTACGTCGCATAAATGTAACGTACTCAAAATTGGAACACAGCTTCAATCTGGTCACCTGGAAAGAACATGGCCAGCGGCTCCCGTTCGACCCGATCATTTTGTTCCTGCCCTTTGGCTTTCAGCTGGCAAGGAGAAACCTTTCCAGATTCCAGGAACGGCTGAGCCAAAAACCGAAAGTCATGAGTCGGAAGGACTTGCACCCGAGAAAACAAATCCAAGGGTGCAGGAATGAGATCATGTTCTCGACCTCTGTGATATCACCAATCTCCCCCTTTAATTGAACCAGAAGTGGACAGCATCGACAACCTGCAATGAAGTAAGCCGCAAGCCGAAGGAGGTACCCTCCGTGTGGCTCACAAGCAAAGCCTGCTTTTTCTTCGGAGTTTACTCAACACTCACGGTAAAAAACTCAAAAGGGCGGTTTTTGCCGCGCCAAAACCATGGCAAGACTGTGCCCAATGCCAACCGTCTACCCGAATCGCTTTTTCGGTGGCTCTGTCGGGTTCAGGGGACTGGCACCGCTTCCAATTCCGTGGGCAGCATCTGTTGTCATTGGAACACATACCAGTCCAACAAAGTAATACTTGGTTTTGAACAAGTCAGTTCACGTGTCAGTGACTCAACACGTTCAACCAAATCTTTCACCCAAAACTTTTGGCAATCGCGAGCTTGTCTCTGGCATCTCAGATATGGTTTTCTGTGTAAACAGTCCGGTGGCACCAGGGAACTCTGCATTCCTTGGGCTCCAACCTCCCGCGCGAACCTACCCTTCGCCGATTCGACATTTCCATTGCACGAGTCCGGGAACCTCTCAAAGGGATTGTCAAATCCAAAGGTCGCTGACCTGCCGGTCTATTTGGACACACGGATAAACAAGCTGTCGCATCCCACGCCTTGTCTGCGCCACCGGCGTGGGAATCCTGGCATCAAAGCGGAACCGATGCTGGAGAACAGCGAGACGGCCAGCAATGGCCACACGAGCCCGCACTCGTTGACACTTGGATAGGCGCACTGGGCTAGGCAAAGAATCCTGCACGGGACCACCTGATCCGACCTCACGAGCCACTTCGCTAGTGTTCCTGGCCTTTTTCGGTTGGCATCTGTACATGTTGCCCAGCCACCAAACATGCCTCCCGATCTCGCCTCCAGAATGCGGACGCGCAGCAGAAGGTCCTTCATGGCCTCTGAGTGCTTGTCATCCTCAGCTCAAGTTCCATTGCACTTACCTGTGACCATCCGTGATTGGGTTGTCTAAATTATGGGACTTTAGTAGCAGCTACCTTGTTATATGTTGACCTTCTTTTAACTAGAAACGAGATGTACATGTCAAGTTGCCAAATATGTGGCTTAATTTTGGAACCCGGGCCAAGGGTGTCCGGAAAAAGGATCACAACGTTTATCAGCGTGTGACTTGTTAGCTATGCACGTCGCTTGTGCTTCAGCTCAATCAATGCTTTCTGCTCGTCACCCAGCTGTACCTGAGGCTGCTCCAAAGATCTATTGTAGGGGCATCCGCCCTAGCGGCCCTTTTCCCTTTGTGGTTAGGCCCATAGTTGAACCACACACATGAGACGAAGGCTAGGTAGCCTACAAGTCACAACACTGCTTTTCCCACTATGCGCGTCTCACCACTGGGTTCTTGTCAAACAGTGGGCCCGCGCCGTTTCTTGTGGCCGCGGGAAACCCAGAAAAAGATCTATAGGAGTATCGAAGCTGCCCCTTGGGGTGCCAAGGCTTCCGGACTGCGGAATTCGACTTTTGCTGCGGCATGTCAAGGGAATCAACCGCTCGTTGGTCATGTTGTGTGAGGAATCCTCCTCCTGCAGGAACCCACCCTTGTTGCGTCTCTCCAACACTGGTACAAACTAAAACTCGGCATGTGCGTCCCTCCATGTTCAATTCGGTTTGACGAGACAACCGTGCTTGTCACAGATCGTCTCCCAAAATGGATCGATCACCCGGGAACCAGCCCTCACTAATCTGAAGGGACTGTTTTCAATTCACCTCAGGATGTCTTTGGGTTGAAACTTATTGCAATAGGAACCATGCTGAAGGCAAACAATTGTAGAATTGTGACAATTACAGAAAGTATGGCTAAGAATACCAAAAGGAAGTAGAGTGGGTAAACACAAAACACCTAAGGCAGAAACACCATAGATTAGATCACTCCAGCCAAAAACAGCGAGGTGTAAGTCGCCTAGTGCCTTAGACATGCTTGCCCAGAAAGTTGTACGTAGAAGGAAGGCTTGCTACATCTCTCCTTCAAACAACCCCTGACACCAACGTTGGCGACCATGGCAAGAGTGAAACCACGCAGCAAGTACGGATGTGTCTTGTTTGACAGGGACCTCTTGCTGAGTGGCAAAAAAAAGGAGAACCTGGGAGATGCACAACCCCGAAAAACCCCGGAGAACAATGGGAAAAGATCGGAGGCCTTCGTGGGGTATCAGTGATCAAGGGATATGGTCATGGGTCAAAATCCAAATCGTACCCCCAGTGAACGGGACCCAATCCAACCACTAAAATAGACTAAAATGGGTGGAGCACCTACCCCGAAATGGTACTATTAGTTTTGACCCACGGCCAGCAAATGTCCATCCACCATTTTGGATGGACATTCCCTTTTGGCATTCATACCGATACCCCCATCTATTTGAGGGAAACCCAAATGGTAGATAAACATGATGGAACATGTGCTCGGATATTCAGAAACCAAATAGAATGCACCCCAACACTGGCTAAGAAATCATGCGATGATCAATGTCAAGATTTGCCACCCAGTTAGATTGGAACTGCTCTTGCTGCAAATTAAACTCAGCCCCCCTGGATTTGCCCGACCAATTTCTTAACCAACTTGTGCGATAAAACAAATGGATACAACCGAAGAGGCTGCTACGAAACTGAGCCCCTGATTTTGTTAGCGAAAAGACCCTTCAACCGAAAAGGCCGTTCAGAAATTGAGACCTGAATTTCTTAGCACTCTCGGTTGACGGGCCTTTTCGAAAATGAAATCGGGGCTCGATTTCTTAGCGGCCTTTTCGCTTGATGGGCCTTTTCGCTAGAAACAAAAACAGGCCTGCGAAGGCAATGCAAATTTGCAGTCTGCCAAATCAAGACAAGCTAAGACACTGATTGCTCAGAGATTCAGCCCATATTTTCACAAGCCCTACTAAACATACAATGGGCGTTAAGAAATTGAGCCCGCCCCGAGTCTCGACCAGCCGATTTCTTATACAGCGCTCGGGCTGGACCTCAAGTAGCATGCTGTGTCCAGGCCTTGACAATCCCTGGCACCCCCAAACAGGAAGCTCGGAACTGCTTGGTCATTGGCAACATAGATTAGTCTTCAAGGGAAGCCTCTCTAAAACTTGCATTTTTTCCTTGAAGCCCAGTCAAAGCTGGGCTCGACGTGTAGCCGGACCCTCATTCCCTCAAAAATGGCTTCTTGCCCCGAATCTACTCGGGGGTGAAATCCCTTGGCGAGTTTGAGGGTGGGTCCCGCGAATTTCCCGCATGCCGAGGCTCCACTTCCCCAACCCGGCTCTTGGCTTCTTTCACGGCCTCCACTTCTGCAGCCGCCGCCTGCAGCTGCCTCGTTCCGTACGCTCGATGCGTCGAGGTGCGGCCTTTTTTTGAGGATCAAACATGTTATCAAGCTGAATATCACCTGCAAATGATGGCGTTCTTTTGGTGGGAAAGGTAATGGATTGATTGAACGGCCAAATGGTATCTTTGAAATGAGACCTGCAAAAGTGAATTCACGTTCTGCAGAACTGAAACCCTGATTCAGGCATAGACCTAGTTCCCCTTGGCCCTTGGCGTGTTTCTTCAACTCTCCCCGGAACACAAATGCAAAGGACTCAAACAACACACGTGAGCGGCGGGTGTTGGCTGGGGTCAGCGTTCTAGGGAACCCAAGTGTATGAACACAATACATCGATCCATCTATAATGTTGCTGTTTACGAAGCATGCTGCTGGCACTTGCTCGCTTCTATCTCGAGCTTGCAGAGCACATCAACTATGTTGCGCTCTGGACGTGGACGCAAAACATCCATCAAGTTGGCATCTGTTTGTTTCCAAGGCAAACCAATGCATATGAAAGCATTCACTTACGCACTCATACTCATTGATGGAAGCGAGCGGCATGGTGACCATCGTCAAGGTCTGCTTCACCTGAGCCAATCGTCTAACAGAACAAAACGACAAACACAGGCCTGCACAACCAAAATAAACAGCACTGCCTAGGAGCTTGATGGAGATTTAGGAAAAAAACATCCACACGCAGTCGCAAACCTGCAAGTTGCTGGGGTAATAACCAAGCAATGCACAGTCCACTGCTGATTGACGTGGAACAAAACGGATCTTTTGCAGAGGATCCGTTTTGGGGGACTGTCCTTGGGGGTTTGGCACCACGTTGGTTCATTTTGCCCAGCCACGGACTTTCATTCGGACCTTTGAACCCAGGTCTGCATGGGGATCTATGTCCAACCGGCTTTTGGTTGCTCAAAGTGGGGAGATCACTAACCCTAATCGGTGATCCGCAGTGCAACACCACTGCATCGAGGGAAACCACAGCTGTCTAGCATAAGATTTTACGTTTGACATGGAACAACTCAGCAGTTGTGACCGCGTTCCAACCAAAACTCGTAGCCAGGTGGCTTCAGCATTGTAGGCCCCTGACTCCATGGTATCCCGAATCTGCGGCTCCTATCTCACGCGACCGACAGGAAGCCTCGAGTCCAAAATCCCAATTGAGAGCTCACTTGGCCAGAAAAGTTCCAGACTTGTCTACTCCTAACAAGCTGATTCAGAAACTGGGCAAGGGGGTCGATAGCCATTGCTATGTCCAAGGAGCCTTTTGGCTGGTACATGAGGGCATGTCTCCAAAATGGAACTGGCAATTGACGAAAAAGATTGTGTTCTATGGGTTTCCCCCTTGGCTTCTTACTCTGGAACTTCAAGAATCTACAATATCCACAATGTTGATGACCATCCCTTCCAACCCCGAGTAAAGGGGTAGTTTGACCCATCAGCATAGTCTCACCCTGTCCAAAGCAAACAATGTTTCTAGACTGATTTGGCAAGGACGCCCTTTGCATCAGGATCCAAACATGCTTAGCTGCGGACGGGTCTCAATAAAGCACCAAATTCGTGCATCATGTCATGCCACGTGCGGCCCATGTATGCGGAAGCGGCCACAAGGGAGGAACCTTTGCTTGAAGTCTTGCCTGAGATCTAGTAGTGCCCCTTCTGACCTGCTTTGCAAAACCAAACACGCATCAATGCAACCACGCACACACACGGATACTCTATATCTCAATGTACCTTTCTGTATATATATATATATGCTACCCCCCCCCCCCAGGGACCTTCCTTTTCTAAACCTCTCCAGTGTATGATTTGCCCATCTAGGCCCGGAAGAAAGGGTCTCTCGACTAAGACTAGGACCCAACTAGGACTGGACGATTTGCCTCCGATTCTTATGGTCATTGAATTTCACGTATAAATTCCTTTGTACGTTCTAGCGACCAAACTATTCTAGGACTGGAACCAAGGATCTCTCAACTAGGACTAGGACCAAACTAGGACTAGACTAGTTAGGTCTAATTATTATAGTGGTTGAATTGCACTTAGAACATTCTATTGAAAGACAATCCTGTGTACTATTTCAATTGAATCAATTAGACTAGTCAATATTTGCAGAATTCCAATTTAAATATAAATTCTGACTGGAGCATGTCCTATTCTTTTGAATTTCAGCTAGAAGTTACGTAGAACTTGATAGTTAAATTAAGTTTAACTAATAAGGAAATAATCCAGAGGTTCCAAAATTGCTGAATAGTGTGAGTTTGAATGGTTTCTGATTTGTAAACACAATTCTATTGGAAAGGATATCTTGTGTAGTATTTAAGCTGAAATACAGCCATACTTAATTCACATCAACGACCGACTCTAAATTTCGATTTGGTTCTGAAGAGGATTTAATTGGGACTCAAGCCGGAAATACTTGTTCAGAATCCTATATACCGGAATTTAATTTTAAGATTTAAAATTAGATAGAATTCCTTTCCAGGTAGAGCTTTACAATTGAATTGGAGTATAAACATAATTAGATAAGGAAAGAATTGAATCTAAGAATCCAAGCCTGTAGGTTCAAATCAGGAATCTGGGACCAGATGTAGTCAGATTGAACCAGATTGAACGTTCAATCTGGCCTGGGCTCAAGATCCAAGATTTAAGATTCCCCGGAAAAGTTTGGCACGGAATCTTGAATCTTGAATCTGGGCCTAGATTTAAAAGATTGAAAGGGATGGGCATTTAAATCTGGGCTTGGATTCAAGATTCTCGGGAAAAGCTTGGCCTGGAATTTTGAATCTTGACTCTTGAGTCCCTAGATTTCAAGGATTGCAACAGATTGAAATTTAAATCTGGGCCTCGATGGAAACCGATTGGCATTTGAATCGTGCCCGAAGCTTCCAGAATCTGCTTGGAAATACACCTTTTTTTACAGCTTTCTCCAAAGCCCCAAAAAAGGCAACAATCACTGCACCTGTGAATTCTTAAAAATGGTAGGTCCCTGGGGGGAGGGTACCATGTGCATATATACATAGATACACACATATACATATATATATATATATAAGTATGTACACTTTTGCTGAGAGTCCGCAAAATACAGTCAATCAGTTTTTCGGGTCAGACATCGCTCCTCCGGCTGGACTTTGCGCGTGTTCGTCTCGTCCGCCGCAGGTGACATGTCCTCGCCCAGGATCTCCTGGACATGAACCGTGGCACAGCGAGTTTGGTTCCAAAGACCGCTGAAAGAGCACCACGTTGCGGTCGCTGAAGCGTTTCTGGTTGAAACCAATCCAATAGCCAAGTGGCTGACCTGATGGCAGACTCACTCTTTGAGTTCTGGGCCAAAAGGAAAAGGCCCGCAACAAAGGGCACCCAGCCTCTCCCCGACTCCGTGGCTCCGTGGCTCCGTGGCTCCGTGCCGAGGGGCAAATGGACACAGCCCCAGGCAATAACGTTGGCAACCCCCACAGACCGTCAAACTTGTTAACTAGGAAATCTAATCCCCAAACCCAGAAAGGCAAACACTGAAGATCCTCTTTAGCCTTGCCGAAAACCAAAGAACACAAACTGTTGTGTTCACGACAACCAGTGAAGAAACTTGAGAGCAAACACGTCGGACGGCAAACTCATTGTGAAGGGACTCCTCGAGAAACCTTTTCTTTGTTTCTGGTTCCGCCATGTTTCTCCGGTTAGACCAAAAGACACCAAGGGTATTACACAGCTTTCCAGGTGGTTCCAGATATTTTGTCCCATGCAACGAAGGGCGCCATAAAAACCGACTGCGCGCGCGGTCAGAGTGAGTCGGTCTGGTCTCCTTCTCGTCCTTCTCCACCGGGACTCCAAGGAGCTGCTTCTTCCAAAGCGGCAGCTCCAGGACCGGCTGGTCCCGCAGCGCCTGGCTCGCGTGGACCCGAAGCCTTCACCGCGTGGATGAACCGCCCTGCCCTATTCGAAAGCCTTCGGCGGGGTGCACGTCTTGGATGTCAAAGCTTGAGCTTATGTCAAAGCTTGAGGTTATGTACCCAAGGTTACTGGGGTGCAACTACGACTAGTTGGCTTGCAACCATCGTTGCTTATAGTCTAAGTAGGTTGAACATCCAAGCAGGGTGACGGTGGATGGAACAACTTCTTTGTCGGTAGGTGAAGGGGACGACCGTTTGGATGACTCGTTTCCCGGGCACGGAACTGGAAAAGGTTCGGGCTCCAAGCAATCAACTGGCACCAAACTGGTCCCCGTTCCGTTCCCTTTCAAAATGCGGAATCAATTGATTGATACTTGGGGACTTGGGGGGCAGAATCTACAAGTTGCAGCATGGGTAGGATAGAATCTCAAACCCCCGCACAAATGAGCACGTTTTGCCAATTGAACCGGACAATGAAGAGGCACCTGAATGACCAAAGTTGAGCCAGGGAATCTAAGTCAAACAGAGCGAAATAAGATGGATGACTTTTCCGGACCACTCAGTTGGGAGAGAAACTGGCTTGGATCTGGCGGGACGAATTGCCTTCTGCAGTCCGGGCAAATGATACATCAAGTTGTCAAAAAAAACAGGCATCTTCGCAGTGTTTGAAAGCCATAGCATTTGCCAACTCAAGTGAACAAGCAAACATCGGCCCACGGTAAGCCAGGTGAGCCCGCAAGTAGGCAAAAGATGGACGACGACAACCAGGCACCTCGTTCACCGCGCCAGGCGTAAAGACCCGCTCGAGCAGCTTGCGGTCCCGCCTGCTGTCAAACAGATTCTGCATGTCCTCGGGCGCGGGATCGGAACCGAATGTTGAACCAAGTCGTGCCGACCAAAACAACTTGCCAAAAGTCTGCAGATACATCCTGTTGGGCCCCCCTTTTTTCGCACCATGTTCATCGGCCACTGCCGAGGATCGGGTCTTGGAGTCCCACAAGGATGCGCATTAAGCTGTGTCTGAATGGTGCAAGCCCTGGAAATTGAAAGGTGAAACACGTCCATCTGCTTGTCGTATCGGCGAAATTGAACAGCAGAACTATCTACCGGGTTGTCCATCAGGGGAACAACGGATGGAACTGTAGAACCAATGAAGCCAACTGACCCGTTGAAATACGGCTTCCTTTGGGGCCTAACACATGCAATGTCCATGACCCTGCACCTTCCATGCAAAAGGCACTCCAAGAGTTCTTCGCAGCTTCGGGTGACCAATTCATTCTTCTTATCAGATTGAGAGGAGGGATCCACAATCACGAAGCTTCATCAAGGGCGGGCGGGTTCTGGTTCCCCCCCCCCCCCCAAATCAGCCCATTGGAAAATCGGATTATCTGCATGTACTGAATCAATCGACTAGTGGGTGACCCCTAGATATGTTCTCTTGGTCTTACCTATATTCGCAACTGAATGCCTATGCTGCTAATACGAGCCATCCTGGACCTTCAAACTCCAGCAAATTTCTGGGTGTTTTAGGAGATCCTTACGATTTACCGAATTCCAGTGGTTTAGCACATTTGGGGCAAAAACTCATACGATTTGCGTCGTTTCCAGTCGCGCATTGGCCATAGAAAGCAAATACACCTCGCAGCACTGGCCAACGTGCCAATAAACACCATAAAATGCCTTGATCATTCAAAACTACGACTTTTCCTGATTTGCGGGAGTTTGCGGGTTTTTGCGGGAGATTTGAGGAAATTTGCGGCAGTTTTGCGGTCAAAATGGGTACGTTTTTTCTGCACCGCACAACTTTGGACCGCCGTTGCAGGTTTTGACAAACTTGCGGGCTGCATCAAGCCTCAAAGCTTCCTTTAATCTGTCAAAGGCTGCGAGCAGTGCAATACTGTGCTTTTTAGGAGTTTTAGGAGTTTCCGGTTTTTGCGGCAAAAAGTGCTACGATTTCCCGAAAATCCAGTCAAAGGCGGAAACTACTTCTTTTTTTCAGGAGGACGAAGGTCCAGGATGGTCAGAATATTGTGACATGGGAAAATGTGCGAGTCGCTTTGGCTTGATTTGAGGAAACCTAGTCGAGCCCCTGATACGTTTCCCTTAAACCATGGACCATGGGATATGTTGACCAACCTATAGCTACCTTCCCAAAATATTCCATGGTCAAATATCCCATGGTCCATATCAAATATCTTCCATATCGTCCCATGGCGCATAACACATTTGGAGATGTGTCCATATAAAATACCTTGAAGGACACCCCAGTCACCCCCCCCCGTCCTCCAGGCTGATGGGATCCCGGAAGGAAGTGGAGATGGCGAACCGGGCCGCATCCTCGATACGTTTGTCAGCACCTTTTCTGGATTCAATCAAGTCTTGCTTTGCTCTTGGGCGCAAGAGGCGGTATTGTCTGGGGGCCTGGTTCATTTAGGCTCGAAGGGCTGATATCCAGGATGCTACCCTAAAGCAAAGCCACTCCCCCAAGCAGACCCAAGACCCGCGACCGATAAGATCTCAGCAAGCCCAAAAATCATCCGAAACCAGCTCTGAGCAACCAACCCCGACCAACCAACCAACGACCGACCGACCGACCGACAAATCAACCAGCCACCGGACCTCACTGGGGTGAAGCCCTGGCCGGCGCTAGTAAAGAAAACAAAGCATCGGCTCCCCGTGAAAGGACAGAATCAAAAACGAATCACAAGCACATGCGCCCCAAACCGTGAAGCTCTAAGTGGATTTCATACGGAGGTATTGCCAAAGTCATTCGCCTCTTGGTTGTCCCCAAGCTTGGACTCACATGGCTGGCGCCGAATCGCTCGCCAAATCTGTGGTTTTATCAAACAAATGTTTGCTTGCTGCCTCCTGATCATGGATTTCTCTAAATGCGTCAGATTCCTACAGGGTCAACTAGATCGGAAGCTCATGAGCATGACGCTAGAAACCTACCGCCTCACTTGCCAAAGAACCCTCGAAATAGAAGGCTCACCTTTTGGTGCCTTCCACTGGACCGACACTAGGAATCCAAAAGCTCGAGTCGGCTTATGACTCAGTTGTCCAGTGGATGTCAATGGGGAAAAAAGGGCACCCTCTCTTTAGTTGGTTGAGTTTAAAGGGGAACCCTTACCCAACCAAAAGGGAAAAAGGGCACCGCTGGGCAACGGAAGTGAGAAGTTCTTCATGACTAGGACCCAAATTATTGGCATGGGGCTGTGGGGTGTAATTCTCGGGCCCTGATGTCAGGAAAAGAACATCAATCCTTTTTGTTGCCCGCAAAAGTCTCATCGTCAGATGCTGCTGAGTCTCCACCCGGGGCTCTTGGGAGTCGTCGCCCTCCTGTGCAAGGAAACCAATCGTCAAGATCTTCCGCCGGCATAGGGGGAGCAATGGTACCACTGCGCTAACTGGAAATAAGGGATCCCTCCAAAGGACCGTAGCACATTCCAGTTGTTCGTTGAACATCACCCTGCCACAAAACACAACTCACTTGAAACTGGTGCAAAAGGAAATGCTTAAACCACTCACATCGGAAGCGACAGGACCTGAAGCTTTTGCAAACCAGATCTCTGTACTTTTTCAAACCGTGCGGCGTGCCAGGGCAACGGCTGAGATTCGAGAAAAGAACAAAGAACGGCTGCACCAAAGAAGGGCTTTCCGCAGCATGAAGGGAAACAAAAACACACACCGCATTCACAGGTAGAACACGGCGCTTCAAATCGAGACTCCGATTTGGTCTACTTCAGCAGCATTTGGATGGCCCCTGCTTTGACACAATTCATTAACGAGAGCACATGTTGCACAAGCAATTCCAAAGATAACGCACGGTCAACCCCGGAGAAGCCAAGGATCAATCCCATGGTGTTCGGCATGACTGATGCAATTGAACAACTGGCCTAAAAGGTAAACCAATATACAAAGTGCAACCCTATAACGTAAAGGGGACCCCCAAAAATGGTTGGCTTCCCTGTGGTTTCCCTTTCAAACCAACCAAAAAGGCTACCCTCAAAAAATCAGACCCATATCCAAAGGCATTTTCCGCACAGCTCATTGGCTCAGCTTGCCGTCCATTTGGTCATGGTCCCTGGTCCCTGCCTCCAGCTTCGGGAATGGCTTGTTCCTGCGGTGAATTGAGATGTGAACCCTGGAACTTGGTGGAGCGACCTTTTGAAACACCGTGAGCATCATTTAAGCCAACATGTTCAAACAAACGAAACATTTGACACTACATCCGTCGGTGGGACTAAAAATTGGGGAGCTAGGGTTACGCAGGTTTGAGTCTTTGTTTCCATTTCCCAAGGTGCCATGTTGGTACCATGTAAGCCACAGCCTCACATGCCCGGAGCTGGTCCCGCCTTGGTCCATTGGGATACCGCGGATCTTTCTCCTGGCGGCGGAAAGCCACGGAATCCCCTCTGTTTGCCCAAAGTTCCCGTTGTTTGCTGGTTTTCGCCGGGCCGGAGCTGCAAAAACTGACCCCCTGCGTTGGTTTTTGCGTTGCTCGGCTGGCTGGTCTTGCGCGCAGGGGACCTTCCCCAAAATCAAGATTTGGGCGTGCAAGGAAACCATTTGGAAAACACGAAATTTTGCGTGGTCCACTAATTTGACACATACGAAATGTATATATGTGGGATATCGCAGAATATCGTGTCAGTTTTCAGGGGTACCTGTGCCCTGTCTTGTGCTTGGGGAAAAAGAGAGGATGGCATCTGGCCAGTGACCCTTGTAAAAACACCAAACATAAGATATTTCTGTGGGTGTGGCTGAAGAACTGCAGCGTCTTCATGCAGCATCGAAAAAGCCAACTCCTCGGCTCAGGGGCTTCCGGATTCTTTAAGAAAATCGTCAACAGGAAGCTTGATTGGGTAGCTATTGCTTTCATTTGCTGAAGCCCACTGGGAAAAAACAATATTTCCAGTGATAGATTCCCTTTAGCACTAAAAACTGAAACTGTAAACAACTTCAGCAAATAGAAACTTGTGCTCTCAACTTCCGTTGCCCATTGCACTTCACCTAAGGCGATTCCATTGGAGGGCCTTCACGAAGCTGTCCCCGAGCGATAGATCCCAACGAAGCGAAGGTCCAAAGCACCCCATGGGGAGATCGTTTGTGTTCCCCCGGGATTGGTGAGCTCCATTTTTGAGTTGCCCGGAAGAATCGCAGGGACCCTGGTAAAGAAAGGACACCCGCTGCCAAAACCAAATGCCACTGAACAACTGAGGGCAAGAAGAATCACATACATATCTTCAACCAAATGACATCTACGCAAAGAAGATTCCAAGTGCAGTGCAAGACGCAAAAACGAAGTTGGTGAGCCGGTTCAGATCCTTCTCCTCAGGCCGCACGGTTGTTTCTTCTCCGAGACGACACTGGCAGCCTTGTAAACCAATAGACAACTATGACACCAGGGTAACCTTTGCCGCCGCGCTAACTCACCAGGGGAACAACAGCAAATATGAAACCGCCTGATTCTTAACAATTGCAAAAGAAACTGTACAACAACACAAAGCCGGGGTTGCTGGCCAAAACATGCCCCAGGCACTTAATTATTGAGGATGCCCTCCACTGTACAGCCAGGGTTTGAATGGAATGCCACCAAACGGCTTAACCTCATTACACATATTATATGTGTATAGATTCTAGATGTATCATCATGGCGGTATTCGAAGGCGTTCCTTTTGCTAGTTGGCAAGCAAGTCGTGCTGTGCCTGCCAACCAACTGCTGAACCGTCATCCGGAAATGGGTTGCTACCAAAAACAATTCACACATTTGCTGGAGATGTTCAAGTGGCAGAGCCAACTGGTCTCGACTTGTGACATCCACCTCGTTCAAAGGTTGGGCGTCTCATGCCATCGCCGGTACGATGCCCTTCTGGAAAGTTGGTGTTTTATCAGGGGGTGCAGCAGTTCTCTGAGACTCTGGGCCTGTATTTATTTGTGCACCCGCCCCGCCCCTGTACACA